TTAAATATACTATATGATTAATAATTCCTGCTTTTAAGGCGAATATAGTATTAGACTGACGGTCGAATTAAATATTCATTCGGAATGTTTTGCTTTCAAATGCCTGTTAAGCATATAAGAGTGAATTGATACTGTTCTTCGATTTTGTTTTAGTTACAATATGTACATAATCTTTGAGGCATTATGTCTCCCGGGCTCAGAATATAGCCTTGTACATCCAGCTGGATGAAAATGGATCTCCTCGACCTGCCGTTGTGTGATGGGTCATTGACATTGATATCCATCGTCAGATGTCTCGTTCTATATGACGAGTAATGACATCTGAAACGAACACCCTAAATACGTCAGCAACAAACATCCATCCATGCATTAACGTGGGTACGTCAGCAACAGACATGCATGCATTCACCTTGGTACGTCAGCAACAGACATGCATGCATGCATTCACCTGGGTACGTCAGCAACAGACATGCATGCATTCACCTGGGTACGTCAGCAACAGACATCCATGCATGCATTACCGTGGGTACGTCAGCAACAGACATGCATGCATGCATTACCGTGGGTACGTCAGCAACAGACATGCATGCATGCATTACCGTGGGTACGTCAGCAACAGGCATGCATGCATGCATTACCGTGGGTACGTCAGCAACAGACATGCATGCATGCATTACCGTGGGTACGTCAGCAACAGGCATGCATGCATTCACCTGGGTACGTCAGCAACAGCTGCAGGCATGCATGCATTCACCTGGGTACGTCAGCAACAGGCATGCATGCATTCACCTGGGTACGTCAGCAACAGGCATGCATGCATTCACCTGGGTACGTCAGTAACAGACATGCATGCAATCACCTGGGTACGTCAGCAACAGACATGCATGCATGCAGTATCACTGGTACCATATGGGGGTGGGTGGGGAGGGGGTGGGGGTACGAGGTAAAGTGAATTAGGCTCACTTCAGTTCAGTGATGTTTGGAAGATTTGAAATGTCGAGTCTTGATTTTAACAGTTTTGTCGTTTGGTCATCACCATGTAACATAAGGTAGTTGAAGTTTATGGGGTCATAATGGGACCTATATTTTCGAACATCAATTTAACAGTTAACTGTCAATGCACATGTACACACATAGTTTTTAGAATATGTTATGCTTGCAAAATGTTATATGATTACATTTAAAAACGTTTATGCATATTCATGATATGTTCAGAAGCGCTCCTTAATCCTGCTATGAAAAGTATTAGCATTTTACAAATGGTATGACCTTGTGGAACAGGAGAACATGACGTCATTAGGCATCACTGAAACCTTTCCGTTGATGCAAACACATCAAGGGGTACTCAGGTGATGTGGAAATACAGCACAGACTCAACCAGCACAGACAATCGATTAACCACGTCAATGGAGCAACCATAATGTTTCCAGTCGCTGATGGGATTCGAACCACGACCGTTCTGGTCCGAAGACGAACGCCTAATCCACATGACCAAGGAAGTCAAACCCATCAGCCAGCTGACAAGTTAAGGATTTCATCTGTGTGATGACGCCCCGCTTCTTATTCCACATAATCTTTCCCACAGCCTATATAAACTAGAAGGGTAGATGGGAGTGACAGTCTATTTCATAGACCTTTAATAACGAAATCTTAATATCAGAAGACAAACGCCTTTTCGAAATAACTCAGAAGAAACACTTCATATTTACTGTCCCAAACGTGATAAGGTATTCTAGTCTTGTATGATCGAGAATTCGTCTATATGGAATAAACCCTGTTGAATGCAGGTATTAGACTTTCCAATTCCTTTGTAACCGGCAGCAACACTGATACTCCTTAGTTTAGACAATCTTGAAACAAAGATGGGTTTCCAGTTTTAAAGAATTAACTATCTTTTGGGGGGTTGTAAAAATGTAATTATACCAAGAGTGATGGGATGGTCTAGTGGTCAATGCACTCGCTCCTCACACGGAAGGCCAGTGTTCGATTCTCACATGGCTTCCATGCATGAAGCCAATTCCTGTTGTGGCCATGCATTAATATTCCTAAAAGCGAAAATATGCCACACTCGTACCCTCATTTAGAAATCCATGTGAGTCTATTTATCAACAGAACATCTACAAAGATCCCCCTTGATGATGACAACTATGTTTCAACAGGAGTGAGGCTAATGTTGGAGCAATTAAAATAACGGTCTAACAAGAAAACAAACATACAGTATACCAAACAACCTGTATCAATCTATCCTGGCTAACATCTGTGTTGCTGAACAAGCCAGTGAACGTCCCTTGTCTGGCATCTCTCTTCCAGTTTAACTGAATAAATCAACGCATAACGGTAATTGGACTTCAGCAACGCATACTTGTCTCCCTTAGTGAAGATTCGGGTTGAAAGTATCCACTAACCAATTCTTGCCGAGACAAGATTCCAGTTGTCATGGTGATGGTAGAATATCCCAATTCCATAGGTCGATGCTCGGGCTATCAATCACTGGATTGTCTGGTCCAGAGTTGATTATTTAAAGACTACCATCATATAGCTGGAATATTGCTGAGAAATCTCAGCAGCAATAGAGAGGAGGCTCGTTATCTGTAGCGTGCTTTATCAGAGATACACTGACCCGATTGTGTCAGTCCATGTTTTAAACCCCCGCTTACCGCAATGTGGGAGTCATCCAGAGCCTAATTGGAGCTACATTCCGCTCAAGAGCTCACCGGCATGACACTCGGCCAAATAAATATGAACTTGACATAGACCGCTGGCCTGTATGGAAGATTTATACCACGATACAGGTGCGCAAGTGAACTGGCATGCAGCCAAGTATGCCTGCAGTGTGTAGTGTGTGGTGATGCCTGCAGTGTGTAGTGTGTGGTGATGCCTGCAGTGTGTAGTGTGTGGTGATGCCTGCAGTGTGTAGTGTGTGGTGATGCCTGCAGTGTGTAGTGTGTGGTGATGGCTAGCTGTATCTCGGACTACTTGGAGTAACTGAGGCAGTCTGGATACCATGAACGACGACCAACGGCATTGGGGACATCACACAGGAGTCATGTGACACGTTGTAACCTACGACAAGCACAGGGTCAATTTCGTACTGACACGGGCGTTGTTTCTGTTTTACGCCGCACTCAGCAATATTCCAGCTATATGACGGCGATCTACAAATAATCGAGTCTGGACCAGACAATCCAGTGATCAACATCATGAGCATCGATCTATGCAAATTTGATACGATTACATGTGTCAACCAAGCCAACGAGCCTGACCACACGATCCTGTTAGTTGCCTCTTACGACAAACATGGGTTACTGAAGATCAATATTCTAACCCGGATCTTCAGGGTTATGACACAGGAAAATGTAAACTGGATGTGCTGTGACATGTACACAAGTAACCAATTGCCATTACTCTTTTCATTACTTTTATTTCTCTAGAAGGATAGAAGAATATTAAAAATATTACCTACTCCTTTATAGTCGGGGAACCTATTGACATCCTTGTGTATCACCAATTCAAATTGGAGGCTTGAGTCCATTGTAATTTACCACCATCTTCACTACAAACTAAATTTCACAGTGTATGTTTATTTCGCCGTAGAAAATGAATTCTTTTACGTGTGACGTTGTTAATCCTGAGGATCTTTGGGACATGTTTAGTTTAATCACGCATTGAAACTTAACCCAGAATAGCGTCGGCGGTGGCGATGAGCTATAATATTCATGTAATATAGCATTGTGTTCGCTTCTTGCTTGATAACAAATTATTCTCTATTTAAATCACTTCTGTATTTGGTTTTCGGTTTTGCTTGAACATTATTATGTTTGTGTTAGTTACTGGATATTTTCATAACAGGCCGTCCCGAGGCCTACTGACGATTTTACTGCTGCTTCGATGTCTTTGCATACAAACAGGACTGGTTACCTGTGAGAGTTACTCTTTCGTCTGCGACGATAACAACTGCCGGGCGAAGTGTCTGGTTGCATATAAAGAGGCAAGGTCTAAATTTCCGCATATGTTTCAAAGCTTGTTGGTATAGCGGTCCAGCTTAGTTATGACTGGGCTCCGTCTCACCAACACAAGGAAGCGGGGAATCAATTTGCTGCGCTAACGCTTCGACAGCAGAACCCGGGAATCAGGCTGTTTTTCATAAATATAGCAGTCCACCAAAGAAACAACTGCCAGTGGGTTCCGTACAACAAGGAAGCAGTAAACGCATTTCTTTACATATTCGGGACAAGTTAAGTGATCTAAGGGTCGTAATTTGCCGTTCAGAGTTGCATCCCTTGGTAGCTTAGCCCTGATTATGACCCTTAGTCTGTCGGCACCACACGCCTGTTTGTCCGCCTGGGGTATGCGTTTGGCTTTCAGTCCACTTTACCTGACACAGGCAAACACTAGTGACTGAAATATTGTTAACGTTGGTAAACGCCACATTGCACTGTGTTTGGGCTTTGTATCAACATCGACTGAACACCCGGTGTCACGCCTCACTCACACCCTTTGCTACTACATGGTGGAACAGTATCTACCGACACTGGAACAATATAACAGTATATAATGGATATTCCGGGGGACTAATAATGTATGACAGTGGGTGATCCCCTGCCCTTTCCCGTTAACTGCTCACACCCTCTGAACAAATGTAATATTTTGTTATGACAACTCCTTCTGCCAAGCCTGCTTTTTCTATTTAACATGATCAGACCCCAATAGGACGCCGATTTCAATAAAGGACAATTTTCATTATTTTGTGCTCCGCTCCCGAACCCATCTTTAGTCGTGATACGTTCCTCCCCTTCGTTATCACTACTACCCCTCCCCCCAAAGTGTGTTACTGTAGTTCTCTCACAAATACAAACGTCATTCAGAGAGGGAACTGAAGATTCATATAATCTCATCTCTTCTCTCTCCCAAATAGTGTTTTTACATTGCCTTTCTTACAGCCTAATCCTGGCGAGTCTTCAGTGATTCATTCAGTAGCATCGATCAATAATAGACTGAGCTTTTCTATGTACAAAAGTATTTTTATTAAAATAACAGTATACAGTTATAGGATTTGCCAACACTATGTGTTCCAAGAGAGGTATATAACAGAATATAGTGTAGAACAACGAGTCCCGGTGTGACATGCCACTGTCGGTGCTTCACGCTGTGTTTGTTATAACAAAACCATCCGTGTGGCCATAGTTCGCGACTTGCTATAAATACAGTCACATGTTTCGTGTAGTGATACTACATATCTTACATACATTCCCACACACCATCATCAGGCGCACTAGCTCTGTTGTCAATTACCAGCAACAGGCAGTGAATTCTGTAGTGACAGACACAAGAGGAATTACCGTTCTTTCGTAAATATACACCGTAAGAAATTCAAACAATCGGAATATATATCCATATCATATATTTTGCCACACCCGTGACCATGAACCTAAGAGGTATGACATTAAACCAGTCACACTATGAAAGGGATGAAAGTTATATATGTGTTGCCATTGTCTTGACATTAGAGTTGATGCGCTCTTGGTGGTGCCGATAGCCCTCCGTACTTTCTTGCCTTCCTGCTCCGCCTCCTCGAAGACCTGCCTCTCTGTTCTCGATTTTGTTTGCGACTTCTCCTGTTACCGGACCTCCTCCTCGTCCAGGTCTTTGGAGCCCTCCTTCTCCAGTTCCTCCTTTGGACAGCTCTCACCATCTGGTTCGGGCCGTTCCTCCCCGGGGACGACGGGGCTGACCCGGGCATGGAGCCTAAGGATGAGCTGCGTCCTCGGCTGTACCAGCGGCTGTTCTTGTGTCCTGGGGCAAGGATGTCGCTGTCCTTCATCATAGAGTCAGAACTGCTCCCTGGGGGGCCAAAATGAGACCCTGGAGGGCTAGGAGGGTGGCTCTGGGCCCATCCCCCTGGTGGACTTCCTCCGCTGGGCCATCCAGGAGGGCTGACCATGATGTTTACGGGACGGGGCGGGGAAGGAGGGAGGGACATGGTCTCCGGTCGACTTCGGGACAGTGCAAGGTATTCTTTCTCCGTCATGATGTCCAGGCATTGACTGCGACTGAGGATGGTATCCCCGATGCGGCACCTTTCTTTGTCGTCTACCCAGGGAGGACATGGAGGAAGGTCTGCGAATGCTCCTGAAATCAGAAAACACCAACTGGTTAGTTTAATGTATCCATGATTCTTGATACTGATAGTGTACTTATATTCCAGTACGTGTGTCTATAAACTCTTATGCGTCATTGGTGACCCCAACGGGCACCTGTAGCTTCTGACAAACAATATTCCAATACGTGTGTCTATAAAGTCTTATACGTCACTGGTGACCCCAACGGGCACCTGTAGCTTCTGACAAACAATATTCCAATACGTGTGTCTATAAAGTCTTATGCGTCACTGGTGACCCCAATGGGCACCTGTAGCTTCTGACAAACAATATTCCAGTACGCGTGTCTATAAAGTCTTATACGTCACTGGTGACCCCAACGGGCACCTGTAGCTTCTGACAAACAATATTCCAATACGTGTGTCTATACAGTCTTATACGTCACTGGTGACCCTAACGGGCACCTGTAGCTTCTGACAAACAATATTCCAGTACGTGTGTCTATAAAGTCTTATACGTCACTGGTGACCCCTGTAGCTTCTGAACGAGTACGTGCGTGTCTATAAAGTCTGTAGCTTTCTGACAAACAATATTCCAGTACGTGTGTCTATAAAGTCTTATACGTCACTGGTGACCCCAACGAGCACCTGTAGCTTCTGACAAACAATATTCCAGTACGAGTGTCTATAAAGTCTTATATATGTCACTGGTGACCCCAACGAGCACCTGTAGGTTCTGACAAACAATATTCCAGTACGAGTGTCTATACAGTATTATACGTCACTGGTGACCCCAACGGGCACCTGTAGCTTCTGACAAACAATATTCCAGTACGTGTGTTCTATAAAGTCTTATATACGTCACTGGTGACCCTAACGGGCACCTGTAGCTTCTGACAAACAATATTCCAGTACGTGTGTCTATAAAGTCTTATACGTCACTGGTGACCCCAACGGGCACCTGTAGCTTCTGACAAACAATATTCCAGTACGTGTGTCTATAAAGTCTTATACGTCACTGGTGACCCCAACGGGCACCTGTAGCTTCTGACAAACAATATTCCAGTACGTGTGTCTATAAAGTCTTATACGTCACTGGTGACCCCAACGAGCACCTGTAGCTTCTGACAAACAATATTCCAATACGAGTGTCTATACAGTCTTATACGTCACTGGTGACCCCAACGAGCACCTGTAGGTTCTGACAAACAATATTCCAATACGTGTGTCTATAAAGTCTTATACGTCACTGGTGACCCCAACGGGCACCTGTAGCTTCTGACAAACAATATTCCAGTACGAGTGTCTATACAGTATTATACGTCACTGGTGACCCCAACGGGCACCTGTAGTTTCTGACAAACAATATTCCAGTACGTGTGTCTATAAAGTCTTATACGTCACTGGTGACCCCAACGGGCACCTGTAGCTTCTGACAAACAAAATTCCAGTACGTGTGTCTATAAAGTCTTATGCGTCACTGGCGACCCCAACGGGCACCTGTAGTTTCTGACAAACAATAACAGGCCGAAGAAGTTGAACACGAATCCTCATGGGTGGCTCGTACAGTAATTGAGTCAACCGATCCTCTACTACGCTTGTGTTATCATAGGGATACCGCAAGGTTTGCTCATTGTCTGGCCCAGTGTCCCTAAACCATTCTATTTTCCTTTCGTCCAGCCCTTTCTGAAAGACTTGATTTTTAATCCCTTTGTCTTTTGGACAATACAATATGTTTAAAACAAACGTGATTTCTTCTCCTTTTCAGTTTAAACGCAGTTGCTGGTTTTTATCAAAAGTGCATATGTCCAGAGACTAAACTCTGGTTTAGGTTTGTTGAGTAGCCGTACAGTTATGTTTATATTGTGCAGGTTTCAATATGGCGCTTTGAAGGATCACACGCTCCATAGTAATAAAACCCTCTCGTACTCTGTAGAGAGCACAAGATCGGTATGATCGACATATCCAAATTAGCTAAAACCAATTCACCATAAGCACATAAATTGTAAGAAAACATATATAACTTACATGAATAGAGATCATCATGAAATTTATGATCGTTAAAGAAATAGTTTGATGACCGACGACATTATCTCTCCCAGTCCAGTGCTACAGTAATGATGAGGATACACCAGAGTGGTAAAGGGTAAGTTATACTGACCTCCCATGACCTCTGCTCCTTGGACGCAGCCTGAAAAGATACAATATCGTATTAAATATTTAAATAGGTAAGTCACGCGTTGCGCTACTTCCGGAACTACGCTGGTTCCCGGACAACCTGCGAAATGCGTTACGGTGCCCAGCTTACTTCCGGTCCCTAATTTCCGGTGACAAACGTATATTCAAAAACCAGTTCTGGTTCCAAATTGCGCGACCGCCAAATATGACCTTTACTAGACCGGACCAAGTGTACAACCATGCATGGCTGTCGACACAGTCGTAATAGTTGGTTAATTTGGGGGCGGTTAGATCGAAAATTTGATATTCCTGCAAGGGTTATCGGTTACTTACTGACAACTATGAGACCACTTAAAATGGAATGTAACGTTGTTTGTCACCGGAAGTACTAAACAACGTAAGGTCTTGCGATGTGACCTACTTACGGGCCCTATATCATGAATTCCGTATTTAGACGTCATATTTGAACATCTTGAATATGGTAGGTTTAATGTTAAATGTGAACATCACGATTGCAATTCTAACATAGCAAGACATCGTTATTAGTCATAAAATGCAAATCATAGCCCCTTACCCTAGTAATATGTCAAAACAAAATCCAGCAAACAAAACCAAACCAAACATTTTCATGATTATAACATACCTCTGTCAGAAGAAACGTCCACTATGCGATTCCGATTGTAGGCATATGTGGAGGTACCGTCATATCAAGACATGCAAACAACTTCTGTGATTCCTTTACAGAATTTGCAAAACCGTTTAGACGTTTACGCAAAGTGCAATGAATTTCGGCAGACAAAACACATTGGAATCTGTGGTGTGTGCTATATATTCATGAGTAATTTATATGGTGTTTGTGAAAGGACGTGTGTTTCCTGCACCTACGGTGGCACCCCTCACTCATGACAAGAGTACGCGGGACACTGGGAAACAGGAAACTGCATGGGATGCGTCACACTTAGAAATGTCGTCCACCACATGTCCGCCATTAAACAAGACTGTTTCACTGATACTTTCAAAGTTGTAACTCTGTTCACACAACTTTTGAGAGTCAGTTATCTGTACCGTATCTGGAATGTTCAGAACTCCTACCTCTGGACCGTTCTCTCCCCGGAGCCTGCAGTCTCAGCGCTGGAGGGCCCGCTTCACCATACACCACACAGTACACCTGAAGTGGACGAAGTGAGTGAGTGACTTGTTTGTGTTAGTGAGGCGTGTGTCAGCATATAAGTGAATGAATCAGTGAGTTTAGTTTTACGCCGCTTTTAGCAATATTCCAGTGACATCACGGCGGGGGAATGAGTAAGTGAGTGAGCGTGGATGAGTGAGTGAGTAAGTGAATGGGTTTGTTTGACTGACTGACTGACTGAGTGAGTGAGTGAGTGAGTTTGGGTGGATGGGTGGTGAGTGAGTGAGTGAGTGAGATTTGCATGAGTACGGTGCGTGCGAGTGAGTTTTGGTTAGTTAGTGTGTTTGAATGAGTGAGTGAGTGAGGTGTGAATGAGTGAGTGAGACGTGCGTGTGAGTGAGTTTGGGTGAGTGAGTGAGTGAGTTAGGCGTGACTATGTGAGAGAATAATCATCTTTTTGCTGTTTCAGCCATTGAGTGAGCCGAGAGATGAGGCACAAAATTAGTCGAGATGAATGGTCAGACAATTAGTCACACACTGCGCTGACCGGCGTCAGAGTTTAAACCTCTGGGCTGCGAAACTTGGCTCTTAAACCCTACAGACCTTTAACAAACCTTTAACAGACCTTTAACAAACCTTTAGGTCAAGACCTGGTACGTGTTATTACATGGCGCTGCCTTCACTGCAGGATGCAACACACTGTAATCTCGCTGATGAGTAACGAAGGTCGGTGCGTTATACATTTCCGTTATCTCCACAAATAAACTGAACAATGGGGAAATATCTGTTTTATAGCCACACGGAAATCAATGTCCACATGCATGTGCCAGGCGGAATAATTCGACGTGCAAAGTCTTATATGTATATGTGCTTGTCACAGCTGACCTTTACATAATATTGTAAAATTAACCATGAAAACATTTCAGTAAGTTAAAACTAAATATAGATGTCGGAACTATTTGCAGAGAAAATATGCCACACAGTCTGAAAACACAAAGAAGATGGCACATGGCGTCCAGGTGCACCCCGTCTACGGAACGCTGCCCCCGCAATAAGGGAGGGACTCAAAAACAACTGGAACACGCTTTCTCCGTGGCAGCACTTCCTGCCCGTGGGTCGTAAACATTCTACATACAGTTTCATTCAACGTGAGACGTGCTTCTAGATGAATGATAACTTTCTTATGAGTGAGTGAGGCTTTACGCCGCTTTTAGCAATATTCCAGCATTATCACGACGGGGGACACCAGAAATGGGTTTTAAACATTGTAACTATGTGGGGGATTGCATTAGAGGAAATATCACAATTCGGGGGATGGTAAGGTAGGAAGCGGTTAAAAGTGTAATAACTCGGGTAACTGAAGCATGCGTCGTGTCGGCCAGCATGTCGCTGACATTGCAGCCTCTTAAAATGAGACAGTGGCGCTGATGTGAATGTTTCACGACATGTCAGTTCATTATTGGAGTGAAGGGGTGTGGTTATAGACCCTTTTTGGTAATCTTACGGGAATAGCACGGCGGAGACACCAAACTTGAGGTTCATACAGTGTATTTATGTGGGGAATCGAACACAAGCCTTCGGCGTGACCAGCCGGAACGTTTACCCACTACACCACCCTGCCTCCCCTTATTACTAGAGCAAAAGGCCCAAAGTGACTGGCATAAAAACATCTGTCTGTTTGGCGAATCCCAAGAAGTAAGGGGTAAGGTGCTAACAAATCAAAGATAAAAGGCAAATAGAAATCGAAACAATGATCAATGGATCCTGGCTCACCTAAGGGAGGCAAGTCTGCAAGTTAACCGAAGAGTATAGACCCCAGGCAAACCAGGGTCCCAACATTTTGAAAATTAATGTTATCAACAAAGTTAGAAATTATGACATAGTTTCAGTTATATCAAACCCAAACCTAAATATAATTAGTTTATAATAAGCTGCAATTCACGTAATTTCAGTTTTTGATAAATATTGCATGACAGAAGGAAAGGAAACATAATGTCTGCGAAACGGAACATAAAGTGTCACAAACTTCACGCACTTGCTCATCTGGGTCACATTTTCCATATGCAAGGTCACATATTACATCCGCAGAGTGTGTTTGTATCCACTATTAATGCCTATAAACACGCGATAAACATACAACAGAGGAGCGGTTTTGTCCACAAATATATTTAACTTCAGTGAGTCATTTCTCCTTAACGCGTGTTACAATGACTCTGTTGCATGCTCTCTGTGGAGACAATTTGACAGACGCATTAGAGGTAATTCACAGTACATAAAGTAAGACTTGTCACACAACTTAGTACAGCTGTATCCTGATATATCACTATACACACATCATACAAGAGAACACACACTGCTCACATGAACAAACAGCCAGCTTTGGTTACATTAGATCGTGTAGTAGAAACACTTAAACAAAGGATATCACGCACTTCAAACCTGAAGTGTAACTTGCTGTACCGTACACCAACAAAGTGGCAAAACAAACCAGTGTATTCACGCCCCCTAGGACTTATGTCAGAGAAAACGCATCATTATTATAATGAACAAGGGATGTAAAACAATATATCAAAGTATACTCACAACTGCAAATGCAACATTGATTAAGGGTGTCATCCCAACACCCTGACGGAAGAGCGATGCCTTTAAACTCGGCGCTCTATCACTGGGAATACAAGAAGAGTGTGCCTGGAAATTTAAGGAGAATATACACCAGGCTTTAGCGCCAACTGGCCATTTATAAATCCCCACTGCCCACTTGTCGGAAATGACTGCGTTCCGGTTACATGAAACACGCATGCGCTAGTATGTCAAATATTTAGCGCCATGAATGAAATGCCAAAGTTGAAATGATCCGTTGATTACATCACACCTTTTGACTTTGAAGAAAGACGAGAAAAGTATGGTTTAGGTTTAAAGGTGGACCCATGAAACTGATCTGGCTATTGTGGTGATGGGTATGATAAGTTTTCACCTGTACAATAAAGTCAGTTTTGCAGCAATAACATCGGTATATTATACTATTAATTAAAACGTTTCTATGAAACATTTAAAAAGCTGCTTTCTAATATCAAAACAGGAATAAACATAAATACTATAATCGGAACAACATAATTAACCTGACGAAGGGACAAGGAAACGTTGTGTTTACAATAAAGAAGAAGTTGACATCTATAATATTTTGTCTTAAACATAATTAACGACTTTACTAAAGCTACAACAAGTACTTGAGGCAAGTGTATGTTGTACATATAAGGAAAAACAGAAAGGGGATTATTTCAATTAGTTCCCGTAAGAAATTTGCATAATATTCATCTTGGTTCATCTTGGTTCTTTGTTTACTATGTATTACCCGTCAAACCACATAACAAATCAGATAATCTTCATTTTCATCTATTATTGTGCTTTTCCCTTACACCTTCAGCAGCTTATCGCGTGTTCGTGAACTCCGGATAGTCATCGACACCAAAATAGGATGTACACGGATGAAGATGGAAATTCACACGGTACGGGGCGCCGCCCGGAACGTCAGGACAACGTCTACGGGGGCTGGAATAGCAACATCAGGAAGCAGATTCTTGGGGAAGATGAATGTATTTCACAATACTGACTTGGACGTGACATAACATAACTTCATTCTATGGTGCTCGCTGTAATTGTATCCTTTCACCAGGAAAGTCAAACAATGCATTGAATGAGAGCCCAGAATGACGTCATAGATCAGAGTTCTGCATTCTTGTCTGGTTCGAGTTTACGGGGAGGAACAACGTTAGAGTGGACACGCCTCTTTAGGGCGCGTGCACCTGAGAACGATCCACGTTGATGGCTGTTCCGCCTTGTGCACATCAACTGTTTTAATCAACAATGTTTCAGCATATATTTATATTTAGCTATCCTGGTTTCATTCTGTTTGTTTTGACACACATTTTATTGCACCTTCCACGAATATATGATTCCTCAAATGGACAACAATAGGGACAGCATTTGGTGCATGCGTTTCGCGTTGCCACTGGGATCTAAAGTTGGGGCGGTCGGTTTAAAAAGAAAATAATTAAAAACTGTTTATATCTACACCACCAAAGGAGACAAGACATCAGTAACTATAATGTAATGAGCAAAGACCAAGCCATGTTGACACGCCAATAGTCAATGAGTGAGTGTGTTACGTTCGACGCCGCTTGTATCACAACGCATCAGTCACCTTAATGTGAGAGGAAAGCCCGAGGTAAGGTAGGTCTCTTAAAGCCCGAGGTAAGGTAGGTCTCCTAAAGCCCGAGGTAAGGCCCGAGGTAAGGTAGGTCTCCTAAAGCCCGAGGTAAGGTAGGTCTCCATCACTCTGGTGAAACCAACGACCGCGGCTATAGCGCTGACAAAACAAGAAACATGAAATTCGAAGCAAGACTCAAAGGTTCCTGTCGTGCGCAAGGGACACAACTCAACGCAGAGAACTGTATCGTCTTAGACCACTGGCACACCAAGTCACCGAGCCACAACACTAGCAACAACAATCACAAACACGACAACAATATACTACTGAGGTAGGTGTAGCCTAGTGGTTAAAGTGTTAGCTCGTCACGCAGAAGACCCGGGTTCGATTCCCCATATGGGTTCAATGTGTGAAACCCGTTTGTGTCCCACGTTGTGATATTGCTGGAATATAACTAAAAAACATAATTATTCACCCATAACATACTACTACTACTACTACTACTACTACTACTACTACTACTACTACTACTACTACTACTACTACTACTACTACTACGGGTATGGGTCCCCAAGTCAAAACATTGATTACACATCAGTCTCGTTTCCTGCTGACTGGGTTCCGTCCTATTGGGCAACTTAGTACAATAACCAGTCCATAATTTTGATACAAATGCATTCAGCTGGATACATAAATATTCAGTATTATTTGATACATCTAACCACTTGTATATTGCAACACCACGCTCCTTCTAATCCTTGCAAACACGTCGTGCAGCGTGCTCTGTCGTTCAGCGTGCGCTGACAAACGAAAATCTGGAAATCGTGGACATTTCAAAACGAGGCTCTGCCCCTAGAAACGTTTGGCGGTCTGGTACGGACTTGATATTATATCACTCACATTGTCCATTACAAAACTACATTGGATAAGCGCAAAGAACACATAACAGGTGTAACCAGTGAGCCAGATGAATTGTGAATCATTACGACCTCATCAAACAAGGGCAGTCCGTGACGTCTTACACCTACACCTCGCCATAAAATACAGAAATACGATGTTATTAAAGTTTGAAATTAAAATTAACTTGTAAATACCATTTTCCAGCAAGGAATTGGAATTCAGTGTAACCATAGTTGTTTGTGGTGTCTCTTTTCACTTTCACACGAGAAAATTGGGATCGGCTGAAAAGTAGGTCATTGTCTGAATAGGTTAATGAGACTCATGTTTCGGTTTGTGAAGATCCGGGGTAGAATAGGTCTTCGGCAACCCATGCTTGCCACAAAAGGCGACTTTGCTTGTCGTAAGAGGCGGCTAACGGGATCGGGTGGTCAGGCTCGCTGACTTGTTTGACACATGTCATCGGTTCCCAATTGCGCAGATCGATGTTCATGATCACTGGATTGTCTGGACCAGACTCGATTACTTACAGACCGCCGCCATATAGCTGGAATATTGCTGAGTGCGGCGTAAAACTAAACTCACTCACTCTATCACAGAGCAACCACATCAGTACTAACATGTCATAGCACTTTACAAATTTTAATGCCCTTCAGATTTAAGACACAGATTTCAGAGCTGGATAACTTTTGAGATGTAGATATTTGAAATCGACACTACGGACACACTCGGGCTGTTCCCTCCTTGTAGGAGAAGCACTAAATGCGTAATTGTTGTTCCTGAACACGCTGTGTGAACTTCCCGCTAAGAGTGCATCATTTCTCCAATACAACAACTCAAAGTGCACGTTTCCCTTTATCGTCAATAGTGTCCATATGTTGAAATTCTTCAAATGTTAGGCGTTTGTTGATGTTCCGGCAAACCACAGAACCAGGAAGAACGCTGTCCGACTTTGATGTGATATAACTGTAGTACATCATATATGAAATATTCAGTTATGAAACATCGATGCTATAAAGGAAGGTGAAATGTAAACCATTGTTAAGCAATGCTGTAACTGTATGGCATTGTTTTTGTGTTCTCCAGGACCGGGCAGCTGTGTGCAGGTTGGTCTGCTCTGCTCCAACTGCCTTTGTTGCCATTACTGCTGCAGTTGTTTCATTCTGCCAGTAATTGCGCTGCCAGTCTTTTGTCTACTGCCACTGTAATTATTTGTATTGATCTTTAAACCATGTTATGTAGGAATGTAGCTGTTAATTGAGTAACGTTCTTTGTCCTAACATGGATTTTTTCACGCATAGATTTCTGGGTGAACTTATTGTTGCAACTACGAACTCGACACGTAACAGTATACACCACTAATATATCAACCTATCATATCATTATACATAATCTCCCATGAAATAGATTCCATTGGGTGTAAAAGCCAAAACGTCGGTGTAAATGTGCGAATTGATCCCTGAAAATCAAAGTTCATGAAAAGGCAAAATATGTCCTGATCAACGGAACAAGTTGTCATCCAAAACACCCTGCAGTTATAAGACATTACACATGCTTAAATGGGAATGTGTGTTTATCATTGACACGTTAAAATAGATTAGTGCACCAAAAGAGGGTTGATCTTGGGAGTCAAGGTTGGCTTGGCCTGGTCCCCTTTACAGGCAGCCCAGACATCTTCTATTAATTGCTGCCTAGTCGAACCCAAAGGGAACGTTTCGAGAGATATGGAGACTCCCCAAACACTGTTGTAATCATTACTGAGAGTGTCGTAAGTCCAGTTATCATGGAAGCAAACCCAGGTACTCTCCCTGTGTTATCCAAGAGATCTCGATTGGCAGGTACCAAACCGAAAACACCAAGGACAATGGTGAGTCTGACAACTTGGCACTTGCGGAGCAAGTCTGGTATTTCTTGAGTGAGGTTTCCTGAATCTTTTCAATCACATGAATGCCAAGAAGGGCAGCAAATCCAATGATATGAATAATGTGTTCGATGTGTTGGCTTGGACGTCCCAGGCTGTATATGGGCTCATTCCATGTACATTTATCTTTTTCCATGACGCCCTCTACACATTCTGAGTCAAAAGCCCAAGCATATGCATGTAGTAATAAAAGGATGTCTTGATGATCTGTCAGCGTTATGAAGCCGAAAGAAGGGAATGTCTTCATAATAGTATAAGAAATAGCCCTCCTATGGACAATTTTGTTAGAATTATGTCAAGCACTGAAAAGATTGTAATATTAAGTTTGGCAAGGTTTTTATATAAAGCCTTTAGGATAAGAAATACAACAAATTATAATTAGATTTTCAGTCTATATGCTGAAATATTGTGTGATAGTTTAGTGTAGCATCTCTGTTGTTGTTTTACGAGAGCTTTTTTTTTTGTCTCGTCCGGTGACAAGATACCTGTAATATGACCAGCATGAATACGCCTGTTAAAACCCTTTTGTAATATGGGCCATGGCCTTGAATACTCGAAATAAATTGTCTGTCCGTCTAAAAGGAACGACCCTCGCCATCATGTCGCTTAAGATGATGTGGCTGAGCCATCTCAGGGCATCTACTGACAAGGTGTTGGACAGTCTCGTTGAATTCATTACACAAACCACATTTACATTGACGGTTGCTAGTGGGAAATGATTGCTATGTTATCGCAAAACAGAAAGCCTTCTGTTTCACTTTTCTGGCCAGTCGACTTCATCCAGGCGAAGGACACATCAGGGGTTCTCTTCTCCTCAACACATAAACTCGGTACCGGTGCAGTGGTCGTTTGAGAGAGTCTTCTCTTGTAATAACTTAACCGGTGCTGGTGTGATACGACCCTTCGCTTGGTTGGTACTCATCCCTGTATTGTCCAACTGTACAAGACCATCTTTTTCGAAAACTAGGATTATTATCATTATTATTTTTTGTTTTGCAAGGTATATATGCAAAACGCAAAAAGAACCCCCCAAAATAACAAATACAACCAAATATGGATATGGTTCAGGTGAACGAAAAATCCATCAGAGCAGTAACAATAACATGTATGTTCTATGAAGAGAAACCCGCTTTGATCAAAGGTTAGTCTCAAGCTGGACCAAGCACGAGCATTCCAACCGCGGAGACAATATATATCTGGTCGTCATCGTGAGTGTCTCTAGAGGTTTAATTATTATCATTAATAATGATTATGCCTACACGTTTTACATTTTCAAAAGGTTTCAAAGGTTAAACTGTAATGTACATGGGCGTTACCGCTTGGAATCATAGTAAATACTTGGGCACAGCGTGCACGGGCGTGTCATCCAGGGAATTCCGAGATTGTACTTGGATACAATACGTATTGATGAGATGATGAGAACGATATGTTACAAGATGGCTGGCAGTATTAAAAGTAGGCCAGTAGGCTAAGCGGCACTTGTGTCAGGTCAGGCAGAGAATGCTCACATTCACGCGCTGCCCTGCATGCCCGGTAGGGGGTATACATATATATCAGGTAGTGTAACAACAAACATATCCCACACACCAACCCCTCCACCACACACCAACCCGCTCCACCACACACCAACCCGCTCCACCACACACCAACCCGCTCCACCACACACCAACCCGCTCCACCACACACCAACCCGCTCCACTACACACCAACCCGCTCACTACACACCAACCCGCTCCACTACACACCAACCCAGTCCACCACACACAATCCCACTCGACCACACCAACCGCCCCACCACACACCAACCTACTTCCACTACACGAATCTGCTCCACTACACACCAACCTGCTCACTACACATCAACCCATGCACTCACGCACCAACCCTCCTCACCACACAAACCTGATCCACTCACACACACAACCCACCTGCTTCCAACCACACACACCAACCCTGCTTCCACCACACACACCAACCTGCTCCACCACACACCAACCTGCTCCACCACACACCAACCTGCTCCACTACACACCAACCTGCTCCACTACACACCACCAACCTGCCACTACACACACAACCTGCCCAACACACCAACCCACTCACACACACCATCCCACTCTCGACCACACCAACTGCCCCACCACACACACCAACCCACTCCACCACACGAACCCACTTCACAACACATCAACCTGCTCCACCACACACACCAACCCTCCACCACACACCAACCCCTCCACCACACACCAACCTGCTTCTTCCACACACCAACCTGCTCCACCACACACCAACCTGCTCCACCACACACCAACCTGCTCCACCACACACCAACCTGCTCCACTACACACCAACTCTCGCTCTACTCTACACACCAACCTGCTCCACTACACACCAACCCACTCCACCACACACACAATCCCTACTCGACCACACACCCAACTGCCCCACCACACACCAACCCACTCCACCACACACACCTCCGCTCCACTACACACCAACCTGCCCACTACACATCAACCCGCTGCACCACGCACACCAACCCTCCACCACACACCAACCCTGATCCACCACACACCAACCTGCTTCTTCACACACACAAACCCGCTCCACCACACACAAACCCCGCTTCCACACACACTCCACACCAACCTGCCCACCACACACACCAACCTGCTCCACTACACACCAACCCGCTCACTACACACCAACCCTTCTCCACTACACACAACCCACTCCACACACACACACCACCACACTCGCTTCCACCACACACCAACCTGCCACCACACACCAACCTGCTCCACTCACACACCAACCCTGCTCCACTTCCACACATCAACCCGCTTCCACCACACACCACGACCCTCCACCACACACACCAACCCGCTCCACTACACACCAACCCGCTTTTCCACACACCACCCTGCCCAACAGCACACTCCACTCCACTCCACCACACACACTAATCCAACTCCACCACACACCACCACACACCTGAACCCCACTACACACTAACCCAACCTGCTCCACACACACACACCAACCCTCTTCCACCACACACAATCAACCCGCCACCACCACACACCAACCCGCTCCACCACACACACCTGCCCATCACACACCACCACCACACCCAACCCACTCCACCACACAATCCTGCCCGCTCACACACACACCCCTGCTCCACCACACACAATCCTGCTCCATCACACACCAACCCCCACTCCACCACACACACAACCCACTCCACCACACCAACCCACACCACCACACACCAACCCAACCCTGCTCCATCTTCCACACACCAACCCAACTCCACTACACACCAACCCGCTCCACTACACACCCAACCCACTCCACCACACACCAACACACCACTCCACCACACACCAACCCTGCTCCACCACACACCAACCTACTCCACCACACACCAACCCACGCCACCACCACACCAAACCCGCTCCACCACACACCAACCCCCTCCACCACACCACCAACCCACTCCCCCAAATACAAACCCACTCCACCACACACAAACCCGTTCAACCACACACAAACCCACTCCACCACACACAAACCCACTCCTCCACACACCAATCCACTCCACCACACACCAACCCACTCCACCACACACAAACCCACTCCTCCACCACACCAATCCACTCCTCCACACACCAACCCACTCCACCACACACCAACCCACGCCAGCACTCACCAACACGCCAACCAACATGGGTTCTATCCACGTGAGCGTAAAACAAAATGCATTCCTAATTATAAAATAACAAATTTACCTCAGTCAAATTATTTGTGTATTCCAGGATATATAAATATAATTTTATAACATAACATGGTTTCTGTGACCTGGTTTCTACGATGACCTTTTCCGGAGTAACACTGAGAAGGGAAAAACCTTGAAATAGAAGTCAACTCCCATAGTGCTCTTTTTGAACCAGTTCCAAACATGGATTCAAGCACAAGGAATGTCACAATGGTCTTGCTTTCTAATAATGCGCAGTTTCCTTTAGTTGGGCATCCAGATGAATCAAACACCCCTCAAACACCCCTCAAACACCCCTCATAGACACCACGTGGCGTCAGGTGGGTCAAACACCCCTCATAGACACCACGTGGCGTCAGGTGGGTCAAACACCCCTCATAGACACCACGTGGCGTCAGGTGGGTCAACGTGACGTTACTGTCAGACGAATCACGTGACACAAAACACGAGACCTACATGTCATGCAGTGGGTCAGCCTTTATGTCACGGCGAACCAGGTTATATTGATTGTCTCCAGAGCACGGTGGCACCAATTCCTGACAGTGTAATACATTGATCGAGGTTAGGTAACCCAGGTCAGTTCCTCGGGAATTCCAGTTCTCGTGAACTCATGCTATTCTTGCTTGCGAGTGTATTGATTCTGGTAAGACCATCTTATTGATTCTTATAAAACCATCAGTATTTGGTTATGTGTTTCTGCAACAATAACCAATAAGAGATCGGGCGGGCGAAAAATATGATCAGTTGATTAATATAATTTGTTGATGGTCCTACAATGATATACATGTATAACGCAGATCTAGTCGCTTTGCTTCGGAAACCTTTTCACTAATGTAGAAAGATCAAGATGACCTGGTTATTTATGAATGAGCAAGTGTTAGTGCATGTTGCATGTGTTATCATACCTGGCATTAATTTACACAGCGGCGTAGAAAACTGAAACGAGACATTATTTTTATTATTTCACGGCAGAATGAAAATTCAGCGCGGGCGCGAGATGGAAACACGGGGAAAAATGGCCAGCCTTATATCTGAGAATTATCATGGAATGTATGTCACTGTGTCTAAGGCTGATATACATTCCCCATCCCATCTCGTACGGAGATCTTTACGTAACTAAGGCAATGTTTACATGGCACCCAATGATATTGAGCGCATAATTGCATTAGAAAGGAAACGGTGAAAGGGCTTGAATGCCGTATGTCACAAACAATAAACTACAGGGTTCTCTTTACTATCAAATTTTCAGCAAAACCGTAAAACATTACTGACGTAAGGGACGTACTGCATGTAGTAAGTCACATGACGAGTCACATCCAGAGTCGGTTTTGTGGGGACTTTCATTACCATTTTGATGTTGCCTATGCATAAATGTCATCATAATGATGAACACTGGATGCGTGAGCAGGAGCAGAGTAGGGGAAGAGGCGATGTCGCCGATGTACGACAACAGATGATGTCAGAGTCTCACGGAGATGCGAATAGCCAGCTGTATCCTTTGACCAACATCCGCCTTTAATGTCACGTGTATTGAATATTTATATGCTCTAAGCTCAAGTTAATTTGGCTATATTGGTCAAAATACCTCCGAAACCCCACCCACAAACCCTCTTCCTTGAAAATAAGAAGGAAATAGACAGAAAAAACCCATCCAACAGAACAACGAACCGTATTTCCTTGATCACGAAACAGCACACGTGATTCGTTGATGACATTTTGCCAACAGGGTAAGAGACTTCCTACCTGCAATATACCTATGCACTAACAGGGCTTGGAGTACATAGTGTTTTGTTAAATTTAGATAACCCTTTCTTTAAAAATCCCTAAAACCCACCACTCCCAAAAACATTTTTTTTTAAAATAATATAAAATCACAAACAGATTTGTAAAGACCGGAAAATACTCTGCCTTACCAATGACAAAACCTGGTTCACGTGATGGAGCAGTCACACAAAGCATTGTGTAGAGGATCGTTCAGGTTAGGAGCTATTGATCTCGCCACAATATGGGGAGCCCCGTCTACTTCCTCCTTTCTGTTTCATACCGCTACCGCTACGTCCCTGGCGTCAGAGCTGTACACAAGTCGTGGGATCTCCGGCGCTCGCTGTGTCCATTTGGCTACCTGGATGTCCTAAACATGCTCTGTAAGTATACAACATCTGACATGCTCTGTAAGTACACACCTGGCATGCTCTGTAAGTACACAACACCTGACATGCTCTGTAAGTACACACCTGACATGCTCTGTAAGTACACACCTGGCATGCTCTGTAAGTACACACCTGACATGCTCTGTAAGTACACAACACCTGACATGCTCTGTAAGTACACACCTGACATGCTCTGCAAGTACACACCTGACATGCTCTGTAAGTACACACCTGACATGCTCTGTAAGTACACAACACATGACATGCTCTGTAAGTACACACCTGACATGCTCTGTAAGTACACGCCTGACATGCTCTGTAAGTACACAACATCTGACATGCTCTGTAAGTACACAACACATGACATGCTCTGTAAGTACACACCACCTGACATGCTCTGTAAGTACACAACACCTGACATGCTCTGTAAGTACACAACACATGACATGCTCTGTAAGTACACAACACCTGACATGCTCTGTAAGTACACAACACATGACATGCTCTGCAAGTACACAACACATGACATGCTCTGTAAGTACACAACACATGACATGCTCTGTAAGTACATAACACCTGACATGTTCTGTAAGTACACAACACATGACATGCTCTGTAAGTACACGCCTGACATGCTCTGTAAGTACACAACACCTGACATGCTCTGTAAGTACACAACACCTGACATGCTCTGTAAGTACACACCACATGACATGCTCTGTAAGTACACAACACCTGACATGCTCTGTAAGGCACACAGCACCTGACATGCTCTGTAAGTACACAACACATGACATGCTCTGTAAGTACACAACACCTGACATGCTCTGTAAGTACACAACACCTGACATGCTCTGTAAGTACACAACACCTGACATGCTCTGTAAGTACACAACACCTGACATGCTCTGTAAGTACACACCACCTGACATGCTCTGTAAGTACACAACACCTGACATGCTCTGTAAGTACACAACACCTGACATTCTCTGTGGCACACACAACACCTGACATGCTCTGTAAGTACACACCACCTGACATGCTCTGTAAGTACACAACACCTGACATGCTATGTAAGTACACAACACCTGACATGCTCTGTAAGTACACGCCTGACATGCTCTGTAAGTACACAACACCTGACATGCTCTGTAAGTACACAACACCTGACATGCTCTGTAAGTACAGAGCACCTGACATGCTCTGTAAGTACACAACACCTGACATGCTCTGTAAGTACACAACACCTGACATGCTCTGTAAGTACACACCACCTGACATGCTCTGTAAGTACACAACACCTGACATGCTCTGTAAGTACACACGTAACATGCTCTGTAAGTACACAGCACCTGACATGCTCTGTAAGTACACAACACCTGACATGCTCTGTAAGTACACACCACATGACATGCTCTGTAAGTACACAACACCTGACATGCTCTGTAAGTACACAGCACCTGACATGCTCTGTAAGTACACAACACATGACATGCTCTGTAAGTACACAACACCTGACATGCTCTGTAAGTACACACCACCTGACATGCTCTGTAAGTACACACCACCTGACATGCTCTGTAAGTACACAACACCTGACATGCTCTGTAAGTACACAACACCTGACATGCTCTGTAAGTACACACCACCTGACATGCTCTGTAAGTACACAACACCTGACATGCTCTGTAAGTACACAGCACCTGACATGCTCTGTAAGTACACGCCTGACATGCTCTGTAAGTACACAACACCTGACATGCTCTGTAAGTACACAACACCTGACATGCTCTGTAAGTACAGAGCACCTGACATGCTCTGTAAGTACACAACACATGACATGCTCTGTAAGTACACAACACCTGACATGCTCTGTAAGTACACACCACCTGACATGCTCTGTAAGTACACAACACATGACATGCTCTGTAAGTACACACGTAACATGCTCTGTAAGTACACAGCACCTGACATGCTCTGTAAGTACACAACACCTGACATGCTCTGTAAGTACACAACACCTGACATGCTCTGTAAGTACACACCACCTGACATGCTCTGTAAGTACACACCACCTGACATGCTCTGTAAGTACACAGCACCTGACATGCTCTGTAAGTACACAGCACCTGACATGCTCTGTAAGTACACAACACCTGACATGCTCTGTAAGTACACAACACCTGACATGCTCTGTAAGTACACAACACATGACATGCTCTGTAAGTACACAACACCTGACATGCTCTGTAAGTACACACCACCTGACATGCTCTGTAAGTACACAACACCTGACATGCTCTGTAAGTACACACCTGACATGCTCTGTAAGTACACAACACATGACATGCTCTGTAAGTACACACGTAACATGCTCTGTAAGTACACACCTGGCATGCTCTGTAAGTACACAACACATGGCATGCTCTGCAAGTACACAACACATGACATGCTCTGTAAGTACGCAACGTCTAACACGTAAATACACATCGACACATACATACGTTGTTTAGTTGGTCGATAACATTCCTTATGCAATAGCTTACACATTTACCGTGTAGCTTCGTCTGTATGAAGGTGATGTGTATCCAAAGGTGTTTTGCTAATGTGATTCATGTATTTAAAATGTTGCCAACGTTTTGTGATTCATGTGTTGTTGAGGGGTATGTCCCAACATGGGGACCAGAGTCTGCATTACAGCTGGCGATGAGGGGTGGGGAACTGTATGGTGCTTACCACTGTGGGCATACTTCAACTTATGTCATGTCTGTTCCGTGTCCCTGCAGGTAGGTGTATTCAGGCAAAGAAAGGGTATCTACACACTGAGGGTTTGCACACAAGCGTTTTCACATCGATTGAAACATACATATATATCAGTATAAGTGGTTTCACGTATAGACTGGTTTAAGGAAATGGGTTTAAATATGCATAATCTTTAATATGGATTAACACTTAATGTATGTATACATCCGATTTAATGGATTCAAAAGGTTTAAGCAGCGGTGTATTCGGAGGTATTCGGGTGTATTCGGGTGTATTCGGGTGTATTCGGTACGCGTGGATACGTTCTCGTGTGTTCATTCATGGACACGCATGCGCAGAGAACATCGGGTGGGTTCAACCCTTAGAGAAATTTACCTGAAAAGTGTTTGAGTGTACCTAAATAAGGAAAGAGCTCACATAGTATCATAGCATAGATGCGTATCAGAGGCCTACTACATATGTGAGCGACGGGTCACACAGCGATAGAGGCTCCATATACACGATAACGGTTTAATAGAGATTGTATCTCGTGTTGAATGTTCATCGAAGTACTTGAGATAACACGCACGGATGTATTTATTAAATGACATGCGCATTTAATACAATATTATTTTCTCATTCCGTATGAAAGTGTTCTTAGCCTAAGGTGTTCATAGCCAAATGTTTTAGAAACTGGTATTAACATGCATGGTCGCATTACGTGTGAATAAAACGGCGGAAATCATTTATACAAATGTATATTTTAACCAGATTGACAGTGCATATTTGAGATATGCTTTTTATATTTGATTGCTAGTCCCTACTTTCCTAAGAGAGACCCAGTCGTCTGATTCGCCGCAATTCGTTTTGCAGAATTGCATCACTCGTGTCCTAAAATCGTGGGTTCGAATCCCACATTCGCCCTGCTTACGTGTATAGGTTGGTCAGTACCATATCCATGGATTTGACCGAAGAGACAAACGTCTATCACATGCACTACTTTGGGCTTGCTACCACGCCAACAGGCACACCGTGATACAACTGAAATACTTGATGTTGTTTACCATGATGTGTGTACATCTACTGATCTATCTGTCCTCCACAGTCCCGGTGTCCGGATGCATCTGCTTGTTGGGACTATCTTGTCTAGTCAGCACTTCCGCCTTGGCATTTCACTCTGGGGCGGAGAAATGCTCACGTGGGCACGTTACCTGCAAGTGTGGTCAGCAAAGGGAGAGAATTCGGATATCAGTCAGAAGGTAATGCTATAGGCTACTTTGATCATATCTCTTAATACGTGACCATCAGATATCACTATGGCAACAACGGCATTCCCAATCGTATGTTGGCTTTTGTTTTACGCCGCAGACAAAACGTTCAGCTCCAACACAGCGGACATCATCGGGTCTGGGCTAGGCAAACCCGTAGTTAGTATTTTGTCTGCTTTTCTTCTTGGTCGACAACTGGACTTGCGTATATATCAAACTGGATGTTCGGATCATCGGCTTCCTAAAGGAACTACTAGATCAATGCACAAAGAAAATATACTACTGCAATTGGATATGAATATCACATTTTTCGACGTCCACGTTTAAGCAATTGTTTTTCTTACTGTTATTGATATCGAACAATTGCAGAAACGTCTGAAGCTTTTATGAATGTCTTGAAAATAACACATTAGGTGAAGATGAAGGAAAACCAAGTGCTCTGGATTGTCAACTTCTGTTTTTGCAATGAGTGCGACGTTTCGGCTAAGATCACGTGCTTGATAACAGTGTTAGTACTTAGAACCTACTCCGAAACGTCGCACTCATTGCAAAAAAAGAAGTTGACTATCCAGAGCACTTGGTTTTCCTTCATCTTCACAACTTCTAAAATGCCTCTCAAACAACCTAGGTGAATAGTAACTTGTAAATGTCATATAGCTGGAATATTGCTGAGTGTGGCCTTAAACAACAAACAAACAAACCAAATCTGTAAATGCTTCACCTACGTCAGCAAGCTTCAGTGAAGACATTGAATCGACACTGATTCCAACTGTACAACCATACACTGTTGTTAATCACTTACATGACATATGTTTATCCAGCGCCTGTATTGATATATCGAAGTTGAAGTCCTAAAGTTAAACCTTGTTCACTGGCACAGCAACTTCTGTATGACGCAATGATGGTACGTATGTTGCTGCTGATGGTGATGATGTTGGTGATGATGTTGTTGGTGATGATGATGATGATGACGATGATTATGTTGATGATGATGATGCTGTTGATGATGATGATGATGATGATGATGATGATAATGTCGTCTCAGGTGTAGCCTCTTTGATGGACACGAATCCTACTGTGACTACTGTACGCCCCGCCGGAAGCTGAAGCGTGTACTGTGCCCTCGGTATCGCCATTGCTCCACGTGTAACAGTGAGGGGTGTGGCACCTGTCCTCCAAACAAATATGGTCCGCGATGCACTAAAGGTGGGTGTGGCTGTCCAAATGTAATTGTCTATAATGAAAGACAGGTCTTCTACTGAAATTACCCTTATTGCATTTATATGTTTCGGAGAGCATCGGTCTTGAATCTGACATATCAAAGGTTGTTCATTGGACCATCTATGTATTGTTTGTGTTTCACACCTCCACTTCAATCTGCAAGAGCGGGCGGGCGGACGAAAAAAGGAAATGAAAAAAGAGTTTTTTATTGATTGTGTAACTACATTTTATGTAATGTTTTGAATTTAGATCACTTGTTGGAAGACATTAAAATAATTTAAAATTATGACAAAGAGCGAATCGCTGTGTATATAAATAAAGACAGATTAAGCAAGAGTGTGCAAAGATAGGCGAGCTTTTTGTCACATCTGGGCTGAGAGGAGAATTAGGATAACAGACTTTCTCTATCGGCAATGAGGGCGGGCGGGAGATGGGAAACACTGAAAATACGCTATAACCGCTTCTTGTGTTGAGACCTGATTGTATGTCGTGTAACAGCGAGTTCATACCGTCAACCACTCATTTGTCTGTCTCTATTTGCAAGCCGGTGTGATGAAACTAGTATGTTCGCTCACTAGATTACCCCAAAATGGCGTGGCTATAAAACGAGTGAGTGAGTATGGTTTTTACGCCGCTTTTAGCAATATTCCAGCACGGCGGGGAACACCAGAAATGCTTCACACATTGTACATGGAATCGAACCCGGTTCTTCGGCGTAAGGAGCGAACGCTTTAACCTCTAGGCTACCCCTGCGCCCCTTATAAATACAAAAACAACTGTACACTGTTAAAGACATTTGTTGTAATAAGTATACTGTAAGTTCATTATTGATCACTTGCACGCATGTTCAATATTTATTTTTTGTGTGCTATCCTTCCTTCTTTGTGTCTTCAGACTGCAGTTCATTGTGTTTCAACGGAGGAACGTGTATCAACAACCAGTGTCGATGTCCAGATGGTTTCACAGGGGATCGGTGTCAAACAGGTACTGCCCGTCACCAAGTCAGAGTCGTACAATGGAAGCCGCTTTGTTTGAGATTCCTTGTAGATAGGGACATGGTTTTGTCACTTCTGTTAACTATATATGACGCTGTGATGTACTGTTATTTACTGTCAAATGAAGGCATATGTTTCAGTTAATTGTCAGAGCTATGATGCGACTTAAGTGTGCCGTGTTGTACGAACTCCCTCATGATGTGCCTTGACAACCTTCACTATCAGTGCGCGTGGTATTCAAACACTCTCTGCTGTGCCTATCCAGCTTTCACATAGACTGAGTCGTGAACTATCCACACAGCATGATGTGCATATGTCTAAATACCCTACGGCCAAAGGTATTTTTATTAAAAGGGTATCGTGCAGCCCATCGTCCATATCCCTTTCTAAAGATCTTCAGTTTGCCTCAACAATTCTTTGTCCATTTTTCCTGCCAAGATCTCTGACATGACATATGTACATCTTTATACATATCTGTTGTTATGGCTGTACCTGTCCATCTCACTCCAGGTACGGAATGTCGTATTGTCACGAAGCCCGCTCACGGTGATGTTGAAGTGTCGGGAAAGACAGCGACGTACACCTGTTCCCATGGTTACGCACTAGTGGGTCAGCATATTCTGCAGTGTAGGCCGAACGGCACGTGGTCATCGGAGTCGCCATATTGTGGTAGGTACCATATCATAACGGCCTTATGTAAGCTACATACGCCACAGTCGTGACGATAGACTCAGTGGTAGGTAACATACGTCACACACGTCATGACGGATTGTGGAAGGTAACATACGTCACAATACATTACACACGTCATGACGGATTGTGGAAGGTAACATACGTCACAATACATTACACACGTCATGACGGATTGTGGAAGGTAACATACGTCACAATACATTACACACGTCATGACGGATTGTGGAAGGTAACATACGTCACAATACATTACAGACGTCATGAAGGATTGTGGAAGGTAATATACGTCACAATACATTACACACGTCATGACGGATTGTGGAAGGCAATATACGTCACATTACACACGTCATGACGGATTTTGGAAGGTAACATACGTCACAATACATTACACACGTCATGACGGATTTTGTGAAGGTAACATACGTCACAATACATTACACACCTCATGACGGATTGTGGAGGGCAATATACGTCACAATACATTACACACGTCATGAAGGATTGTGGAAGGTAATATACGTCACAATACATTACACACGTCATGACGGATTGTGGAAGGCAATATACGTCACAAAACATTACATACGTCATGACGAATTGTGGAAAGCAATATACGTTACAATACATTACACACGTCATGACGGATTGTGGAAGGCAATATACGGCACAACACATTACACACATCACGACGGATTGTTGAAGCTAACATACGTCACAATACATTAAACACGTCATGAAGGGTTGTGGAAGGTAATACACGTCGCAATATGCCACACACGTTATGACGGATTGTGGAAGACAATGTACATTACAATACATTACACACGTCATGACGGATTGTGGAAGGCAATATACGTCACAATACATTACACACCTCATGACGGATTGTGGAAGGCAATATACGTCACAATACATTACAAGGCAATATACGTCACAATACATTACACACGTCATGACGGATTGTGGAAGGCAATATACGTCACAATACATTACACACCTCATGACGGATTGTGGAAGGCAATATACGTCACAATACATTACACACGTCATGACGGATTGTGCAAGGCAATATACGTCACAATACATTACACACGTCATGACGGATTGTGGAAGGCAATACACGTCACAATACATTACACACCTCATGACGGATTGTGGAAGGCAATATACGTCACAATACATTACACACGTCATGACGGATTGTGCAAGGCAATATACGTCACAATACATTACACACGTTATGACGGATTGTGGAAGGTAATATACGTCGCAATATGCCTCACACCTTATGACGGATTGTGGAAGGTAATATACGTCGCAATATGCCACACACGTTATGACGGATTGTGGAAGGTAATATACGTCACAATATGCCACACACGTTATGACGGATTGTGGAAGGTAATATACGTCGCAATATGCCACACACGTTATGACGGATTGTGGAAGGTAATATACGTCACAATATGCCACACACGTTATGACGCACTCTTTGGTAGGTTACGTTACACACGTCATGAATGGTAGGTTACATATGTCACACAAGTTATGACGGATTCTGTGCTAGGCTACATGCATTACACATGCCCTGGCGGACTGTGTGATGAGTACTTATGTCACACATATTATGACAAACTAGGTGATAAGTAGTTACGTCACACACGTTATGACAAACTAGGTGATAAGTACTTACGTCACACACGTTATGACAAACTAGGTGATAAGTACTTACGTCACACACGTTATGACAAACTAGGTGATAAGTACTTACGTCACACGTTATGACAAACTATGACAAACTAGGTGATAAGTACTTACGTCACACACGTTATGACAAACTAGGTGATAAGTACTTACGTCACACACGTTATGACAAACTAGGTGATAAGTACTTACGTCACACACGTTATGACAAACTAGGTGATAAGTACTTACGTCACACACGTTATGACAAACTAGGTGATAACGTAAACTAGGTTAAGTACTTACGTCACGTCACACTTACGTCACACTTCGTTATGACAAACTAGGTGATAAGTACTTACGTCACACACGTTATGACAAACTAGGTGATAAGTACTTACGTCACACACGTTATGACAAACTAGGTGATAAGTACTTACGTCACACACGTTATGACAAACTAGGTGATAAGTACTTACGTCACACACGTTATGACAAACTAGGTGATAAGTACTTACGTCACACTCGTTATGACAAACTAGGTGATAAGTACTTACGTCACACTCGTTATGACAAACTAGGTGATAAGTACTTACGTCACACACGTTATGACAAACTAGGTGATAAGTACTTACGTCAAACACACTCGTTATGACAAACTAGGTGATAAGTACTTACGTCACACACGTTATGACAAACTAGGTGATAAGTACTTACGTCACACACGTTATGACAAACTAGGTGATAAGTACTTACGTCACACACGTTATGACAAACTAGGTGATAAGTACTTACGTCACACTCGTTATGACAAACTAGGTGATAAGTACTTACGTCACACACGTTATGACAAACTAGGTGATAAGTACTTACGTCACACACGTTATGACAAACTAGGTGATAAGTACTTACGTCACACACAAACTAGGTGATAAGTACGTTATGACAAACTAGGTGATAAGTACTTACGTCACACACGTTATGACAAACTAGGTGATAAGTACTTACGTCACGTCACACGTTATGACAAACTAGGTGATAAGTACTTACGTCACACACGTTATGACAAACTAGGTGATAAGTACTTACGTCACACACGTTATGACAAACTAGGTGATAAGTACTTACGTCACACACGTTATGACAAACTAGGTGATAAGTACTTACGTCACACTCGTTATGACAAACTAGGTGATAAGTACTTACGTCACACACGTTATGACAAACTAGGTGATGATAAGTACTTACGTCACACGACAAACTCTTACGTCACACTCGTTATGACAAACTAGGTGATAAGTACTTACGTCACACACGTTATGACAAACTAGGTGATAAGTACTTACGTCACACTCGTTATGACAAACTAGGTGATAAGTACTTACGTCACGTTATGACAAACGTTATGACAAACTAGGTGATAAGGTGATAAGTTTACGTCACACTCGTTATGACAAACTAGGTGATAAGTACTTACGTCACACACGTTATGACAAACTAGGTGATAAGTACTTACGTCACACTCGTTATGACAAACTAGGTGATAAGTACTTACGTCACACACGTTATGACAAACTAGGTGATAAGTACTTACGTCACACTCGTTATGACAAACTAGGTGATAAGTACTTACGTCACACACGTTATGACAAACTAGGTGATAAGTACTTACGTCACACACGTTATGACAAACTAGGTGATAAGTACTTACGTCACACACGTTATGACAAACTAGGTGATAAGTACTTACGTCACACTCCGTTATGACAAACTAGGTGATAAGTACTTACGTCACACACGTTATGACAAACTAGGTGATAAGTACTTACGTCACACTCGTTATGACAAACTAGGTGATAAGTACTTACGTCACACTCGTTATGACAAACTAGGTGATAAGTACTTACGTCACACACGTTATGACAAACTAGGTGATAAGTACTTACGTCACACTCGTTATGACAAACTAGGTGATAAGTACTTACGTCACACACGTTATGACAAACTAGGTGATAAGTACTTACGTCACACTCGTTATGACAAACTAGGTGATAAGTACTTACGTCACACACGTTATGACAAACTAGGTGATGATAAGTACTTACGTCACACTCGTTATGACAAACTAGGTGATAAGTACTTACGTCACACACTAAGTTATGACAAACTAGGTGATAAGTACTTACGTCACACACTCGTTATGACAAACTAGGTGATAAGTACTTACGTCACACACGTTATGACAAACTAGGTGATAAGTACTTACGTCACACACGTTATGACAAACTAGGTGATAAGTACTTACGTCACACACGTTATGACAAACTAGGTGATAAGTACTTACGTCACACCCTTATGACAAACTAGGTGATAAGTACTTACGTCACACACGTTATGACAAACTAGGTGATAAGTACTTACGTCACACACGTTATGACAAACTAGGTGATAAGTACTTACGTCACACTCGTTATGACAAACTAGGTGATAAGTACTTACGTCACACACGTTATGACAAACTAGGTGATAAGTACTTACGTCACACACGTTATGACAAACTAGGTGATAAAACTACTTACGTCACACTCGTTATGACAAACTATAAAGTATTACGTCACTTACGTCACACACACTCACGTTATGACAAACTAGGTGATAAGTACTTACGTCACACACGTTATGACAAACTAGGTGATAAGTACTTACGTCACACACGTTATGACAAACTAGGTGATAAGTACTTACGTCACACTCGTTATGACAAACTAGGTGATAAGTACTTACGTCACGTCACACCTAATGACAAACTAGGTGATAAGTACTTACGTCACACTCGTTATGACAAACTAGGTGATAAGTACTTACGTCACACACACGTTATGACAAACTAGGTGATAAGTACTTACGTCACACTCGTTATGACAAACTAGGTGATAAGTACTTACGTCACACTCGTTATGACAAACTAGGGTGATAAGTACTTACGTCACACTCGTTATGACAAACTAGGTGATAAGTACTTTACGTCACACACGTTATGACAAACTAGGTGATAAGTACTTACGTCACACACGTTATGACAAACTAGGTGATAAGTACTTACGTCACACACGTTATGACAAACTAGGTGATAAGTACTTACGTCACACACGTTATGACAAACTAGGTGATAAGTACTTACGTCACACTCGTTATGACAAACTAGGTGATAAGTACTTACGTCACACACGTTATGACAAACTAGGTGATAAGTACTTACGTCACACACGTTATGACAAACTAGGTGATAAGTACTTACGTCACACACGTTATGACAAACTAGGTGATAAGTGATTATGACAAACTAGGGTGATAGTACTTACGTCACACGTCACACCGTTATGACAAACTAGGTGATAAGTACTTACGTCACACCACGTTATGACAAACTAGGTGATAAGTACTTATACGTCACACTCGTTTGATGACAAACTAGGTGATAAGTACTTACGTCACACACGTTATGACAAACAAGGTGATAAGTACTTACGTCACACTCGTTATGACAAACTAGGTGATAAGTACTAACGTCACACACCTAATGACAAACTAGGTGATAAGTACTTACGTCACACTCGTTATGACAAACTAGGTGATAAGTACTTACGTCACACACTCGTTATGACAAACTAGGTTAAAGTACTTACGTCACACACGTTATGACAAACTAGGTGATAGGTGACATACGTCACACACGTAATGGTATAATCTGTAATATGTACCTACGTCACACAATGTCGGATATTCAACAGTTGCGTGGCCATAATAATGATTACGTTACAACAGAAAGTCAGGACACGCTGATGTTGATCATTGCAGTCTGTCAAGTAGGGTCGTCAGAACTTGTGGATGTTGAGATAATGGCCATATTGGTTGAAACGGCCTTAGTAACTGTCTATGTGCTCCACAGTCCTGTGTCCAAGTATATTGCATGATTTCATTGCAGAGCCAATCTGCAGCCATCCCAATGTCAGTGACCACATGTACTTTGCCAGGGAAAGACTGGACCAAGATGAAGGTGAGATGTTTTCACTACCTAGAGACATGTTGTAGGGCGTTAACGGTTATTATGAACAAATTTCCATGGAAACTAATATTCTCGAATGACCTTACCCAGAGCATTCACCACACAGAAGACTTCAGTTGCTTTGAACTGTCTCGGAGTGCTATCGTGTTGGTGCACCGGTCTGTGTAGTTGCCACTGCAGACGAACCATGGATTAGAACTCATGACCGGTGTATCCTGGCTCTGTTAAGAGTGGTAACTGTCGTATCTTGCAAATTGGCCCCGTTTCACAAAGCGATCGTAGCTCTACGACTGTCGTACTTTAGGTTAAAGTATGGGAGCTACGATCACCTTAGCGCTTCGATAACTTCGTGGAACGGGGCACAGGCCCCTTGGTTTTGAGCCGTGCGTTCGAAGACTATGAAATTTAAGTGTTCAATCGCAACATTGGATCAGTTAAACCCCCGTCCCGAAAGAGTCTACTTTAAATTTGTGTTATGTTTTGTTTAGAATATCACCTGGGCTCCGTGCCACAAAGCGCTACGACTGTCGTAAGTCTAGGTTAAAGTATGGGAGTTACGATCATCTTAGCGCTACGACTGTCGTAAGTCTATGTTAAAGTATGGGAGTTACGATCATCTTAGCGCTACGACTGTCGTAAGTCTATGTTAAAGTATCGGAGTTACGATCACCTTAGCGCTACGACTGTCGTAAGTCTATGTTAAAGTATGGGAACTACGATCACCTTAGCGCTACGAACGCTTTGTGAAACGGGACCCTGACCACTGCATGGAATAGTGCATTGCCTTTATCCTGGCACAGTTAAGAGTCGTAACTCTGTCGTGACTGGACACTGCATGAAATAGTGCATTTACGTGTGATCCCTTAGAAAAAGGTTTGGAATTGTTGGTTTCTATGACTACAGACACCCATGGGAATTGATCCCGGCATCTGCAAGTGTGTCTTCATGTGCCACATGTTTGGAATGAGGGCTCATGAATTGAAGTATTTCCATGAATTCATAACGGTGCCTGACCATAATGGAAAGAAAGAAGTTTATCTGAACAGTTTCACATAAGTTTGAAATTAATTCGAATAACAAAGAACATGCCTTAACATAACAACAGGGTTTCAAAGTGACAGGATCATTCAAACATATTCCGAACGTGATGAAATGACATTAGAAATGCTTGTCAGCCATACAACATATTCGTTGAGTTGCAGATATATCGGGAATATAACGGGGCATACTTAACATGACATCAAACCCCTATGCTGACTTATAGCTAAGTATTCAAGTGGCACGTCGTGGCGAGAGAGTGATAGTGGTGACTGATGGGTATTGAGGCTTCGAATCAGTAACTACTTGTTTTCCTTTGTTCTTAAGTAACTGCCTTGCATATATAGGGATGGGTCATCACTATAAAACTCTGCTGATAGTGTAATGCAATTAGCAGGCTATAATGTCTATAAATGATGTCATTATCAAGTTATAGGCTCGATTGTGCTTGAGCCTACCGCGTGATTAATGTTTGTTGGTGATTCACTCTGGAAGGACGAACCCGTGCAGTCGTCTATGTTCGTATTTTGTATGATTATGGAAAACCAAGATGGTCGCGTGAAGCGAAACAACGTTACAGTTTGTGAACATGAATGAAATCAGCGTGAAACTCACGTGAAAACCCCTCAGTGTATAACACGCCGATACCAGGTAAATGGTGCCTTGACACCGAAGCGAAACAATGTCTTTAAAACGAAATAAAAAATACATTTTGTTTTCAGCGCCCTTCACTGCTCTAGCCAAGGTGAAGGTCAAATGTGACGACGGCTACAGGGTGGTGGGTGCACGATCCATCTACTGCAACCTTGACGGCAAATGGTCCTCTATGCCCAGATGTGGTATGTATTTTCTACGGTTTACACAAGACAACTAGTTGAGATGATACAAAAAACGTAGCAACCTCAATTGAAATAAATCAGCTTATCCGTTTAAGACGTCATTTATCAGGTTTAATTCTTCCAAGCGTATGAATCGGATATAAGCGGCCACAAAAAGTACGATTTTTCCTAAAATAGCATTTTACTTTCAAAGTTTATAAAATAAGTCCGAAGACGTTTTATCCAATCATTAACTAAGATTTCTTCAAGTTAATGAATGTCAGCTGATGAAGTTAACCCTCTGGCCGCTGTGTAAGTCCCCCAGACTCCTCCCCATGAAGCCGACTCCATTCAGTACAAGAAGGCAATCACAATGTCGCTGGACTTAAAATACATCCTGCATTCAGCAAATATGGATGGGTGTTGGCATTTCGTGTTTCAGAAGCGCGCGTAACCTGCACACCTCCCAGTCTTGTAGCCAATGGCATCCATCAGACGTTTGAAGAAGTCCGCGATGACAGGTACTACGAAGGGACGGAGGTGATCTACGAGTGTAACTCTGGCTATGTGTTGAAGGGACGCTACTCGATGGTCTGCCAGGAGGATGGGACCTGGAATCACCAGACACCCAGGTAACACATTCCAGATATCGCAGATATCATGTGTGACTGATAAACGTTGATGTCGTTTAAGTTAAGACGAAGAACTGGGTTCAATTACCATCTTATCATGACGTCCATTGCTTGAATGATATTGCTGTAATGTTGCTAAAAACAACATAAAAGCACACTTACATTCTATTCTAGTCCGTTTAACTTCCTTTCGCCTTTGAGAAAATCGCTTAATATAAATGGCAGTGATTGGCTATGAGAACCCACCAAACACCCAGCTTCAGCTGTCAATATTGATACAATGTGCGAGACCATTTACTGGGGCCACAGTCATGACATATGTAGCTGGAATACTGCTAAAAGTGGCATAAACCCATACACACACTCTTAGACGCTGTGGGACTCATGAGGGGTTTCTCCTACTGTGAGATTGTTGGATTATATAAAACATGGCGTAAAACAATATTTTCTTTGTGTGGCCATCTACATACCGTATAGTTGGCGTAACACATGACCACAGTCGGACATACACGCGTTGATCTGTAGTGATGGAATACACTCGGCATTAACTCTTCATTATTTACATATCTCCATGGTAACCCATGTTGCTCTCCGCAGGTGCGAGGAGGTGGAACAATTACCCAAAGTCATGTGTCCTCCTCTGAAAGCGCTGGGTAACGGAACCCTGACTCGGGGCCCTGAATCCCCGATTGACAAGAACGTGCCCGGAATCAGGTGAGCTACAAAATCCGCAGTCCCGCAAGAGGCACATGGTCTACTTATATATTCACAACAATTCTTTAGACATTTTTGCTTTCTTTTTTCCAATTAGACAAACGTTCAGATATTTGGCAACTATTTGACATACATGCCCTTGCAGCGTCACGAGGCACCAGGGCGGGTTCTATTGCAATGTGTAACATACAAATAGAACATTTGACATTATAAGTTGTGAATGATTATTCTAATAAATTGTAACGAGACAATTTCAATTGCACTCACTTTTTCCTGATATTTTAACTGTTCCTCGGTGAAATGATTAAAATGACAGCACACTATAGTTACTCTATAGCTGTAAACAAAATGTTCGCAGTTATCAAGATAAAACTTACATCTTGTGTTTTGGGAGAACTACCCGAGAATATAGCCTTGCCCATCGCCATATTCATTCATCCGGGCAGTGGTAAACGGCGACTGCTACCGTAAAGACTCTCTTTACGTTAGGGTAGCATCGGACAGTCAGATGTATGTGTCCCTATATTATATATGTGTCTGTTGCATTGTCACCTGACCTCCAGGGTCGTGTACGAGTGTGATGAGGGGTTTGTTCTGCATCCCAACATACCTGAGCGTTATTGCCACATCGACGGGACGTGGTATCCTCCGGTGCAGCCCAAATGCGTCTCAGGTAAATCATGCAAAATTGCATCTTGAATTAAGCATGATTAAAAGTGTTATATATAATAAACATCGGAGTCAGCTTCACAAACTCACAAGCTAGAATGTCCCCAACAATGTATGATGGTGATGAGAGGTGACGATATGGATCGGGTTGTCAGGCTCGGTCACTTGGTTGTTGATGTACTAGATCGGCGTGGATCTCTGATCAGGTCGAAATAAAACAGAAATTCCGCTGAACGCGGTTTTTAAAAACCAGCATAGCGTTAACTACTTTTTCTGCGTGTGTGCGTGCGTGTGTGGGTGCGTGCGTGTGCGCGTGTGATTGTGCGTGCTTGTGTGTGTGATGTGAATTTATGGATGTCAACTTCTGAAATATGAGAAACATGACGTTTAAGAAACGAGGGAGTAAAAATATACTCTGAAACATCTTCATTACACGAGTTGACAACTATAAATCTCCTCCCCTTTCCTTTACGCGTATCACTTCTAAATGCCATCCAATAATGTGTACAATGGTGTTATCTGAATTCAGTGGTGACCTGTCCTGATCCGGGCAAGCCAAGGAAAGGGACTCGTTGTTTTGGCAACGGATGGTAAGTCATTGTTATGCAAATATGATCGCCTTTTAGGTATATTAGAACAGGTTAACATTGTTAACGTTACTGTCAATGGTGCTACCAGGTCATACTATTTCACAGTTGGGATAATATTAAATATGTTATATCTGTTTATTTGGTGACGTGATATGTTAATAAATGGGCGATAATTACGCAGGTACTGCAATTTGAAAGACTCACTGGGATATTTACAGATCGCCGCCATATAGCGGGGTGTTGATGAGTTCGGCTTTTAACAAACAAACAAACAAAGAAAGCATGTTTCATCAACAATGTATACCTAGCTAGTATTGTTCTGTTGCAAACCGTCCTCTGTTTGCGATCATTTCTTATATGTCACGATAGTTCCTAGATGTACAGAAACATACTGTCACCACTTGTAGCGCGACGAATGTCGTAAGTCTATGTTAAAGTAGGACATTTCAAAAGGAAGAGGGAACGCATCCGATGCAGGATGTTTAACACATGCAAACATGATTGAAACAAATTTACCATTATTAGTACCTTGGTGATCCCAGCTTCACCAAGGTCGACATGGGTTTAAAATTCCAACAGTTTAACTTCCAAACAGTGTTAAGTTGTGTCATTCGTTACTAGCTTTCGCAACTCCACGTGCCCGTCAACATCTAACGTGACTGTTGGGAACGAGACCGTGTTCCTGCCGGAGGACATCTATGGGGAGGGCGTCCGCGTCAACTACAAGTGTAACCAAGCTTACAACATGAATGGTCCCAAGTTTAGACGTTGCCAGGAGGACGGTACCTGGACGGCCAACCTGCCCCACTGTGTTCCAGGTAGGAGTTGGGTCAACTGTAAGGGCTATTGTTGGCAACTGACACGCTTCTAACAACACCTATTGCATGGTTCCGAGAACTGAAAATAACTTCACCAACAACCGCTCTATTGCATTTGGCGATTATAAGGTATATGTATTCGCCTTTGAATTCGACTTTGTGGAATTCTGGCCTGCGACAGTTGATCTATAACGTCTGGTTGACATGCATGTACGTGTCGGCCGAGGTTATCCCACAAATGCTCGATGGGGTTGTGGTCGGGAGATTCGGAAGGCCAATCATCGGAACCATATGAATCATTCAGATTTCCTCTCTATAACGAATAGCGGTTAAATTGCCCTGAAGGCTGACTATGTTAGATGTCTGCGTGTAGGATATAGCGACACACTCACCACCATATCGGTCAACCTGGGCAACACAATTCTGGAAGAAAATGTCCATTTCGGCGTCGATAGACACGTGCTCTTCCGTCACGGCACTGAAGCAGAAAGCGTGATTCGTCACTGAACCATACTCGTGTCCAGTTTTGTAGATTCCAGACTCTCTCCTCAAATCACTTGCAGTTGCAGTTGCTGTGACAGTTCGATTCCGCAAATGAAGTACCCGGATGTACCTGCAATGGTAATCCGAGGTCTACCGCTTCGAGACCGATCATGAGTAGAATTAGTTTGTTGCTATTGGTCCATACATGACTGACAGCACTCTGGTGAACATTGAGGTGTCTTGGCAGATTTACTTCCCAGGATCCAGGCGTCCAATGGCAATGAGTCGCGTCATAACGATGTTCTTTCATTTAGCTAAAAAACGCCAATGACCGTCTAAAAGCAAAACGGCCTGATATACACAATGTCCTTGCTCACGATTCCTCAGAACTGCACGTGCATATTGCGAACCAGTTTCTCCAATACATTTTCATGCAAGTTTCGAACGTAAACGTGCATTAAACATTCCGAAGATTAGTTTTAGCGCTGTGCATTCGTGCCATATACACAAACCAGCATTGTAATGGCGCAATTATTACACTCGAAAACTGATGTTTGAAAAATATTTGAAGTTTCACATATCAATATTACCTATGCATTTCTTTTTTGGTAGAGTATATTAAGCATAAGAATCGATTCTCTGTCAGAGTGCGGAAAACCAACAAAAGGAATCACTGCCCTCATCTCCGGGGGCAATGAGTCCAAGATCCAAGACTGGCCCTGGCATGTTGTGGTCAAGAAGAAGATGTCGAAGAAGGAGTGGCAACACGTGTGTGGAGGGTGTCTCCTGGGGGACTCCTGGGTCGTCACAGCCGCTCACTGCGTCACGGTGGACAAGACCACAGTCCCGCTTGACCACTCGGACATCGTGGTGGAGTTCGGAGTGTCACATGTGAACGAATCAATAAGAGATCAGCCCATTCAAAGCAGAGGGGTAAGAGTGAGTGAGTGAGTGAGAGTCAACAAATTTGGTTTTACGTTGCTTTCAATAATGTTCCAGTGATATATCCATGCGTCTGCTTGACGTGGTAGTGAAGCAGACGTTAGATTTACCACAGAAGCGAGACCCACGAGAATGGGTCTGGTGTTCAAGAAACTAAAGCAGAATCAGGGCGAGTCTGGAATTCGAACACAGATTCCCAGTCAGAATTACAGAAACTGGTTATCTAGAATTCCGCGAGGAGGGAAAGCGCACAACACACGAAGACGACGATTTGGCTTCTTATTGTCGAATGACTGACAGTCTTCCAGTCGTAAATCTTTGTTCGGGCAGCTGACAGCAATACTGCTCAGGTCAATGACCTTCAGGCCAGTTTCAATCTGCTGCGGCGGGGTAGCCTAGTGGTGAAACTGTTGGCTCGTCCCTCTGAAGACCCGGGTTCGATTCTCCCCTCGGTTAGGTATGGCTTAAATTGTATTAAAGATGTTGTTGACTAACTACCACGCGATCAAAGTTCTTCTGAATTGGATAATTTAACTCACTTGGCTGGATACCGGGTGACAGAAAGTTGTACTCATGCATTGCACTTGTGTCAACGCAGCTGTAATGTTTTAGTTGCCTCATACACAACATTGTGTTTCCTCTTCAGATTACCAAAATCTACGTAAATGACAATTACAATTCAAGGACATACGACTCCGACATTGCCCTTTTGAAACTGAAGAAATCTGTGACTGTGAACGCACGAGTTCAGCCTGCCTGTCTTTCCAAAGAGCGGAGTTCTCGAGGCAACCAGACCAATCGATCTGATCAGATTCTGCCCCGCTACGTCGTGACCGGATTCGGCAAGGTGGCCAACGCCGAGTATTCGCAGACGCTGCGCTCAGCTGATCTCCAGGTGGAGCCAGACAACAAACACTGTGAGAAGGTTCTGAGTAAAGACGGAGGTAACACTAAAAATAGAAACATTTCATTAACATGGTGATCCTACTTTGCATTTCATTACATGAAAACATATACTATAAAAATAAGGGGTAGGTCATTTATGATAAGGGTGACGGCGATGGAACAGCCCGTTATCAATCATCTACAACATATTACAAGAACGTTTAATACACAGTATTATGCTACGCAGCAGAGACTACTGCTGAAAACTATCGTGGGGCTGTCGCATCCTACTTGGCGTCATCATCCATGCCAACGTATTTTTATATGTTTCAGTGAACAACAGCGTCACTAGGAATATGCTCTGTGCCGATAATGTGGTTGAGAATAAACACCCCTGTGCAGGAGATTCCGGAGGGCCGCTCGTCAGACAGACCAGATATGGACGTAAGTCATGTCTACACATCATTAAGACCCAGTCGTGAAGCTCAGGGTTAAAATTGGTCATCTCTTAAGACCCGACTAACCTGGATCCAATCCTATCTCGACAGCCGAAGGCAGAATGTTATCATAGGAGACAAACAATCTTGATGTGCCAATCTTACATGTGGAGTACCACAGGGATCGGTTCTTGGTTCGGACCCTTTGTGATATATACCAATCAGCTTGGTGGAATCTTAAAACGACATGATCTCGGTCACCAATCATAAGCTGATGATGCACAAGTCCTGGATAGATTTGAACTTTCACAAGTTGCTGAATCTTTTCAGAAAACAAGTGTAAGTGGATAAGATATAAAGTCACGGATGACATTTAGCAAATTGAAACTTAACATGGAAAAATCTGAGGTTGGTAGGCTCTAGGCAAAAGCTTCAGATGTCAACTGACAGAGCTTAAAAGTTGTGTTAGGTAACTCTGTTATAAATTTCCCACCCCGGGTAAAAAACCTTGGTGTCTATTTTGACTCCGAGTTGTCCATAGATTCTCAAGGTGACAATTTGTGTAAGACCTGTCTTTATCATCTCAGATGCATTAGTCAAATTCGTCATCTGATACCGCTTGATACAGCCAAGACATTAGTACAGTGTTTGGAACTCTCGGGGTTGAACAGTTTGCTTCTAGGCTTCAGCAGAGAATCACTGAGGAGACTTCAAAAAGTCCAAAATGCAGCGGCAAGAATCGTTACATGTGCCCCAAGGTACTCTCACATTACGCCGATACTGTAGTCATTACACTGGTGTCCAGTTGACGCGTTTTAATGTACTCTGTATCATATACGAGTCTAAATGACATGACACCAGAATATCTGATATCATAAGTGAACTGCTAACCCCCTACAAACCACCCAAACAACTGCGATCTGAAAGCAAATTCTTACTGAAAACTCCTTCTTATAGGCTGGCCTCTCATGGAAAACGTTCTGTCAGTGTTTGTGCTACATCGCTGTGGATTGAACTGCCCCTTGCCTTAAAAGTGTCTCCATCTTTTGCTACGTTCAAATCCCATCTTACACGCATCCCTTTTCACTGCACTATTAAATCTACCCATACATTATTATTTTGTAACCCACTTTGAGCACCCAAAGTGGATTTAGTGCTATATACATTTTCAGTATTGTTATTAATAAGGTCAGGCGATCTGACTTGGTTGACACAAGTCATCGTATCGTAATTGTATAGATCGATGCTCATGCTGTTGTTCACTGGGTTGCATGGGCGGGTCCAGGAATTTTGAGGGGGGGGTCAGGGAGTTTTGCCCACCCTCCCCCCTCGCTCCGCCAACGCAAAAAGAAAATCTTCAATGTGGTCCCATGTCATTTTCAAAAGGGGGGTTCGAACCCACTGACAACACAACCCACCCCCACCCCTCTTGATCCGCCCATGCGGTTGTCTGGTCCATTATGTACAGATTGCCGGCATATAGCTGGAATCTTGCCGAGTGCGGCGTTAAACAACACACAAACATCACGACCTCCCAGATAAATTACTTTGTGCCGCTTTGAACAGTATTTCAGTTACATAGCGGCAGCAATCTCTTTACATCTCACTCCGCTATAACTGTCTCCGGCAGGGTCTGATGGCATCTTCGCAGACATGGGTGGCCCTGTCGTCTGAGGCACCACAATACGCTGTTGAGAGTTGCGCCCCTTGTTTCTGCTACCAATGGTCGTGTCTTCCAGTCCCTGCCCTGATTTATGTTTCTAGGTTTTCCCAGTACACCAAACGGAGTTTGATCCTGATGGGTGTTCTTTTGCACAGGCGTTCTATATCTGTTTTCATCAAAGTGTAGCCGTCTGTCACCTGCATCACTATTGGCTTTTCATTCACAGAAAGATGACAAGCCCTGGTCCAACTGGCATAGTGTTGAAACAGCATTAAACCCATCTGTCTGATGTTTCAGAACGACGTTGGTACCTGGAGGGTATCGTCAGCTGGACCTCTGAACGCCCCTGCCAGGGACCTGTAACCTACAGCGTCTTCACCAGAGTGGACATGTTCCTGGACTGGATCGAGGAGAAGACATCGCCTGACCTGTCCTACTACTGAACCAACGAGCAAGTACAATCACACCAGCATATGCCCTGTCCACTACCATCCTCGGGGTTCAAGGACTTAGCCTACATTATGGTTACTTTGTCTATCTTAACATGTTTCTTGTAGGATCGATCTACATATGCCACTATAATAGATGACCTTACACAGAATACATGTATATTACTCGAGCCTGTTTGTTTTAAGGAATTAATGAAACGTATGTGATGTGAATGTTGAATACACGTGGAAATATTATGTCTTCATTAACCACTCTCATATTTAGCTGTTCTAAGTTGTAGTGTCCTTGAGACTGGAAACCACCTTCAGGTGAAAGTGAAGTGTCTAAAAGTATACAATTCATTTTTTATATCGACCTTGCAATTCTTCAGTTCTAATTTATATAATAAAATGCACGTATTTACATTGTGTATTTGATATGTTTCTGTCTATCAGTGATACATCATATACGCCTCTGTGTTTCTCAGACCTTCGTTTCTCAATTGTGAATTAATTACAAACAAAACACTGGGTATTACAAAATGAGATTCCTCTTTATTGTCTATACAGGTGGCTCTAACATCCATTCAATCTCATACCCTCAACAATATGAATAGCATCACATATATAATAAACAGTGTTAATAACCTCACATACCCACCGAAAGATATCGATTACCGTTGATGATCCTGATAACCACATACTCAACACCAGATGAATGTTACCCCTTTCCACACTAGGCGTGGTTAAATATAGCTTACCCCACTGTTTGCAATATCCCTCACAATACCGGACACCAGGGACCTCAGAGAATGTACCCATGTATGTTCTTAACCTAGTACCTCCTGCACCCAACACAGGTAACTCAGGGAGCTAATTACACCACCACATCCTCCTCACCTGAATAGATCAACCTTGTCAGCACCCTTCTACCTGACAGCACAACAGACTTGTAAACCACATGATCCCTGCAACATGACAGCCTATCTCTCATGTTCAAAGACTGCACATGACTGACTGACTGACTGAGTTTGGTTTTACGCCGCTTTTAGCAATATTCCAGCAACATCACAGCGGGGGACACCAGAAATGGGCTTCACACATTGTACCCATGTGGGGAATCGAACCCGGGTCTTCGGCGTGACGAGCCAACGCTTTAACCACTAGGCTACCCCACCGCCCCGACTGCACATGAAGAGGCATGCTGCTACAAGAAGAGCTTTCTATCGTCAGACTCCCAGAGTCCCAACTCCAGCTTAGTATGATTGGTAAGATCTAGATTGCATCTACTCTAGGCTGAAATCTGGACTGGTCTGGGCTCTTTTGGGATTCTATATACATATAGCTACTTATTTACTTTTGTTGATATAAATCAGATTGGTTTATTTCTAGAAGTTAACATCAACCTTTCTCCTGCCATCACTATTACATACTGTCTAGAATCGTAGTTTGATTAGGGCAGAGACAAATAAGGTCTTTTGGCACTAATTACATCCTCGCATTAATTGCAAGAATATGAGCAATTGTGCTGATTTGACACCTCTGTGACTAAAATCAGATCTATGACTCTTCGTGATATAATGTGTTATTCGATACAGAAATATTCATGAGAGGTCCCTAATGGCCAGTATGGGGGGTGAGCGAGTCACTTAAAGTTTTACATGGCATCAGCATTATTTCAGCCATACAGCCACCAGACAAAGCCTGTACACATACACAAGTCCATTCTAATTACAATATTTAAAGGAGTTTCTTAAAATACCAGTATGGATTATTCAATCTGACCCATTTTGTAATGGAGAAACTACACTTGGTGTGACGCTTTGGTTTGGCGCTTACAACTGTGGGAGAGTGAATGTTTTGTGTCCCAATCAGAAGTTCTACAGCCATATCTTAGTTATGTAAATAGATCTGAGTGAGCATAGTCTTACACAGCTCTTTGCAATATTCCAGCTATATCAGGCCGCACCAGAAATGGACTTCTCACATTGTTTTCATTAGGGCCATCAAAGGTCCTTTGGTTTGGCATCAGGTCAGACCACAAGGTGTGTGTGTGCGTGTGTGTGTGTTAAAGCATTCCTTTGTCACGCTGAAGGCCCAGGTCTGGACTTCTCACATTGTTTTCATTAGGGTCATCAAAGGTCCTTTGGTTTGGCATCAGGTCAGACCACAAGGTGTGTGTGTGTGCGTGTGTGTGCGTCGTCGTCGCAAGGCAAGGCCCATGCGTGGCGTGCGTCCGTGTGTGTGTTAAAGCATTCCTTTGTCACGCTGAAGGCCCAGGTTCGATTCCCCACATGAGTACAGTGAGTGAAGCTGATTTGTGGTGTCCCTCGCAGTGATATTGCTGGAATATTGGTAAAAGTGATCGAACAATACTCACTCACTCATCAAAGGACTAAGTATAGGTACAAGCAGGCATGACACATTCAGGGCAATCAGGTTCTGACATGAACTCATCTGAACGTTTCACAATATATGATTGGTATATTTGATCATACATTGACATACCTGAAATAAAAAACCACTCTTAAACAGATATTATTATATTCATTAAATCACAATAAAATATAATAAAAATAACAAATATATTTTTCTTCCTAACAAGGAAAAGTTAGATAACAGGAAGCGCACAGTAAGCTGCAGGGAGAATTCTAGAAATCGAAATATAATCCTGCTAAAAGTTTGTCTGAGAGCAATATACATACCTATCAACAATGAAATGGTCTGACTCTCCAGGAGGAAGTATAAAGAGCGATTGTCAATATTTAAGCTTATTTACTTGGTTGTTTGGTTGTTCAACAAAAACCTCAGCGTAGCACAAGTACATGAATATATAAATATTATGTAGCCTTCAGTATGTGTATATATCCATTCACCACATCCATTACATTGGTCAACTTTGGCACATGATGCAACATGTTCTAATAAGGCATACTACTATCATACATCTGTATAAAGCTGATATAGCAATTGGTTTATAAACCACAATGATCTGAGCTGGTGATATTACAGCAGCATAACACTGATCCAAGTGAGTGAGTGAGTTTAGTTTTACGTCGCACTCAGCAATATTCCAGCCATATGGTGGCGATCTGTAAATAATCGAGTCTGGATCAGACAATCCAGTGATCAACAGCATGAGCATCGATCTGCGCAATTGGGAACCGATGACATGTGTCAACCCAGTCAGTGAGCCTGACCATCCGATCCCGTTAGTCGCCTCATACGACAAGCATGGGTTACTGAAGATCAATATTCTAACCCGGACCCTCACGGGTACAATGGTCCAAGAGATGATTATTTAACAATGGTCTATATTAGTAATATGACAATTACATCAAACTGGAGTGATTTAGTGACATTACAGCTGTATCACACAGGTCCCAGTTAGTGAGATTTACAGCTGTATCACACAGGTCCACGTTAGTGATATTTACAGCTGTATCACACAGGTCCACGTTAGTGATATTTACAGCTGTATCACACAGGTCCACGTTAGTGATATTTACAGCTGTATCACACGGGTCCACGTTAGTGATGTTTACAGCTTATCACACGGGTCCACGTTAGTGATATTTACAGCTGTATCACACGGGTCCACGTTAGTGATGTTTACAGCTGATCACACGGGTCCACGTCCACGTTAGTGATATTTACAGCTGTATCACACGGGTCCACGTTAGTGATGTTTACAGCTTATCACACGGGTCCACGTTTAGTGATATTTACAGCTGTATCACATGGGTCCACGTTAGTGATATTTACAGCTGTATCACACGGGTCCAAGTTAGTGAGATTTACAGCTGTATCACACGGGTCCAAGTTAGTGATATTACATATATATGACACAGGTCCAGGTTAGTGATATTTACAGCTGTATCACACAGGTCCAATTTTAATAATGCTTTGAACATGTAAAACATTGCTTGACAATTTTCACACTATCATTATCTTCATCAGGTAGCTAGATACTAGTACTATCAGAAGGGTTACCCAGTAAGTTTAAATCCCTACACATTCCGAAAAAGAGGAGCTATCATTCACATATATTTATTCAAGATATTACACATCTACTTACAGAAGTCATCCATATTGTTCTTGAAGATCACAAGTAATACACAACAGAAATGAGTATCTTGAGGCCACTGATCAGCGGTTATAACACACAAATCACTTCTGAAACTACACAATACAAAATTGCTCCCAAAAGGCTGAAGACCAATATATCACATGCAGCTGTTGCAGCTGCTACTATAATACCAAACAGGGAGACAATTAAGAAAATGTGTTCACAGTATAAATGATAGAGTTTTTTAAGGTTCCTTGTTTATTAAATCTGATCCAACCACTCAGGTGAAGCTTCTCAATTCCTCGTACGACCAACTGAAGCATTCAGAGCATGTTTCCATCAACACATGTAAACAGGATATTCTGAATGTAAAGACTGCAAAAGCAGGAAATATGTTTCTCAAAAACGTTCTAGTTGTATCTTTTGATCAACCACATATTTCTTCAGTTTGATTTCACCAACACTAATCATTAGCAAATGTCCCTCACACAACTCTTCAAATATAGGTTATCTTTTTCAATAATTGAATCTGATTCCCTAACAACTTCACAGATACTTTGATTCGATAGGGCATGAAAGTGTGTCTGTATAGGACATAAGTTACATCAGCCCCTTGACAGCATCCTCCACGCCAGACATAAATAAACATCTGATTGTCTAAATCAACTCAGACACACTTCACATCAACCCCACACATATATCTGATCAGACACATCAACTCCTGAAGACGCACCATCACAGTGACCCCACACAAACAAGCACACACATGAAACGACAGCAGTTTGATCAGGGAGGAAAAGCCACATGGGAGATAACTCTGCATGACTAAATGTGTCATGTTGGACAACTGGTACAAAGTATTTGTTGTGTCCCAAATCGCTCGCCTTGTTGGTCAGTGAGATACATGAACTCTTGTCAAAATAATTTGATTCAATGGTGTCCGATATGTGTAAAAGATAGCACCTTTTCAGGATCTGTGACATCAATGTATAGCTTCAAATTGAGCACATAATTTCTTTACAGATTCACCACTGATAACACAAAGAGAACCCCCAATATACCCAAAATGTACCAGAATCTGTACTTACTAAATGAGTATAATCAGAATTTATAATATACGTTATGATTTACCCTATCTGTTACCTGTGCTATTTGTCAAACCTGGTCGTTAAAGATCAGCATTGTTGTCCTCATGAGAGAGGGTTTTTGTTGTTTGGTGGACAAGTCAACCAGTTTTTACAACAAGTATCACTGTATTATGACAATATGAGAAAACAACAGCACCAATTCTGCATTCTTTGGGCTTTTTATCCACAGTGGCATTTTCCTACTTTGAAAATATTGTCCTACATGGAAACTGTTTTTGGCAGAAATTCATTTCTGTACTTCTGACAAAACCTAAAGACATGTAAGAATACATCGATGCTTTTATCACATCCCAGTACATGTTGTTATACAAGTTGATTAGGAACTCGGGACTGCTAAATCACACAACACTCCATGGCCAGATTCCCAGATATGCCAACCCTAATTTAGCCCAATTAGTATTTTTGGCGAAAAACTGATCAGTCCGTTTATTCAGTACTGAAGAGGCCACAGGCCTGATAAAAAATTAGTATTAACTTTTAAATGAAAAATACACTGATAGTCTAAGAGATTGTTAATAACAGTGTACTCACCTAAATCAGTACTAAGTATCCACGCACGGCTTGATACTGAATAAAATGTGGTTGAAATTTATTGTGTATGTTACGTATGCTATTTGATAATTTGATTCAATGTATATTTTTTGTGCTATCATAGTCACGTGTTTTGTGTTATTTTTTCATTACGAATACGATAAAATTGTATGGGTTGGCATCTCTGAATTTCATACTAGACATCCACAATGCTTTCCATGAAGTACCTATCCATATATCAGTTATCAGCCAAGTATCAGTTACCAGCCAAGTATCAGTTATTGAACTAGTATCAGTTATCAGCCAAGTATCAGTTATCAGTGATCTATCATTATCAATGCATAGACCTAATAATGGTGTTCTGATCATATTCTCTCAGCAACATTTAGTTCTACCAGGATAAGTTGGCTGGAACAGAAATACAATTTACACAATTACACAAGCCAATTACTCACTGAACATTCTCAGCAGTTTGTTATTTATACACCTTGTACAGCCTGACTACCCCTGTCAGGGAAGTGTATTGATTGGTACACTGTCCCAGACTGAACTGTATCTCTGCTATAGCTTGTAACACATGAAACATTCTCTGCAATAACACATTTATACACCTGCACAGCCTGACTACCCCTATCAGGGGAGTGTTTTGATTGGTACACTGTCCCAGACTGAATTGTACCTCAGGGTCAGCTATAGCTTGTAACACATGAAACATTCTCTGCAATAACACATTTATACACCTGCACAGCCAGTATGCCACAGCCCTGACCTATCAGAGGCAGACTGTCCTTGAGAGAACCAGCAGACTTGTGGAGGATTTGTGATGCTGAGTTAGATCATCCAGAAGAAGACGAAGGTCCCCAGCGCTGTCCAGTGGCTGGCATAGTCCAAGGCTGACCACTTCCGTAGGGTGTGAGTCATTGTGTCTCCCTGCCAACAAACAAGCAGTGTCTACAGGGTGCCTGAGTCATCAGCATAAAGACCTAAGCAATTTCTAGTCTTTAGATGCTAATGTTAGACAAAGCATGCAATTGGCAACATAGCAAACTCAATGAAGGTCAAAGCTTCCATAAGGCTTTCAACAAATTCTCACCTGGAGGAATCGTATCAAAGACTTACCTTTTCCTCTTCTGGACTACTATCAAACATAAGTCCCAGGTATGCAAGGTGAAAGACAGAGACGAGACCCAGACACACGTTGGTGAGTAGCACTAGAGGGTGGTCCTGAAACAGACAAACATAGACACACACGTTGGTGAGTAGCACTAGAGAGTGGTCCTGTAACAGACACACATAGACACACATTGGTCAGTAGCACTAGAGGGTGGTCCTGTAACAGACACACATAGACACACGTTGATGAGTAGCACTAGAGGGTGGCTCTGTAACAGACACACACTGGTGAGTAGCACTAGAGGGTGGTCCTGTAACAGACACACACAGACCCACGTTGGTGACAAGCCTGGTGGTAAGGCTGATTCGCTAACAGTTTCAGCACAGATCTGAAACTGACAAGACTAGGACAGTTAACCTAAAAACCTTCATTTGAATTTACTGCTGGCAAAAAAAGCCAAAGGCAAAAACAAAAGTTCAAAACTGAAGTCCTAATACACGGACCAAAATACAGTGCACTTTACATGGACCTTCATTTATACATAACTATGTTTATATCATAGAGCATTGTCTGCTCCAGGACATATTGTTTCTGTCCTCAACATTCATCAACTTACTTGTTTGTATGTATGCTCACAGTTTTCTTTGCAGTGTCTTGCCTGAACGCAAGCACTAAATATTCGGGACAATTTATTTCTAAGAACTGAAACAGAGAAAAACACATTATTTCAATTTGCGATAAACATTTGACATACTGTAATGATGTCTCTAATCTATGTTAAAATAGTGAAACAGGAAGAAAGTGAATGAGTGAATATTGCAGCTTCGTTAATGTTCTACCTCTTCCAATCAAGAAGTGCAAGCATCATTATTCAAATCGTCAAAGCAAAGTGAGAGTAATGAATATATCCATAGCTCACCATATTCTGTGTAGGTATAAAATCCTAATGAAAGTAAAACTGCTGCTAACTGGAAGTTCAGGCCCTGCAACAAACAACACATGTGTAACTGACTTTACAGCAACACTCTTCATGATGAATGATCAAACCATTTAAACATAGTTGACTGATGTATCAAGTAAAAACAATGTCTTACAATGCTCCAATAATAATCTGACCACTTATATGGCACTGAAGTCCACGCCACACGGGCATGTTCCAAGCACACAAAATGAAAAACATGAACAATGGTCAGTAAGGAACAGATGGTTCTTTAGGCCAGATTTTGAGGTAGTTAAGGAAGGAGCACATCTAAGGTGAAGAGAGTTCCATAGCACGGTAGGAGAGTGTTTGAATCGGAATTGAAGTGGTGGACCTGGCACCAAATGTCTTCTATTAGTAGGGAGGTACAAAAAGCAGGAATTTATCAGCTGAACAAACATTTTTGGAAGGTTGATACACTGCTTTAATAGTTTGAGGATATGAAGGGGAGATCCTGTGGATCAGTATTTTGGTAAGGTACAACAAAGTCACTTTGAGTCTACATCCAGATATGAAAGAAATAACAGCTTTTACAAACTTGAAAAAAAATATATTGCTGGTTTAAAGGTTAAACATATTTGTGTTGATAACTGTTCCACAGCATGCAGGATTGATACTTCAGGGTGAGTAGGGTGACAAGAAAACATTTGTAACCACTGAGCTACGCCACCACACTTCAAGAACAGACTAGACTCAGTGGAACAATGCAGAGTTATTTCCCTTGTTCTGTGGTAGCTCAAGCTCCTTTCCCTGCAGCTGACACCTTCATTTACCTCCCTGGATCATCACTGACGCCAGTATACAAGTAGCAAATACAACAATCATGTTTTTTTGTTATCCTTCTACTTTGTTGTAGTTCAAAGTGACAGTGCTGTCAAGTGCATATATATAGAGAACATGGACATATTGCTAGAATAGCCGTTATTATGAAGAAACTTCATTCCAATATAGGCTGACTTTACAACCTATTTTCACTACTTCAGCTGAGATGCTCCAACTGATAAATGCGGTTCAGCAGATTAGAGACCAGATGTGGGTCACGGTGTGTGTGTCAATAGCTCTGTCTGCAACATGACATCTTTGACTTGATGCCAGGGCCTAGATTTCCGAAGCTCTCTTAACGCTAAGACAGTCGTAAGTTAATGTTAATGTATGGCACTTACGACTATCTTAGCTCTAAGAGAGCTTCGAAAATCTAGGCCCAGGACCACAACTGTGCTTGGAGTTGAATTATATCGCAAACAACTGAATGAAGTTATATTATATTCTTTGTCAGCTGGAATATTTATTTTATTTTTATGTATCATTGGTAACGAAATGATATGAGGGGAAAGGTTTTTTTTCTGTAAGCCTGCAATCTTGAGCCAGTCTGATTCAACCAACATCATACAAATTAATCATAGCATGAAATGAGTCAGTCAGACACTTTTCCTTAGTGAGCCATGGCACACCCAGAGCCGTACACAACAAATAGATGTCTTGTCTTCCTGACAACTATTGGGTATAACGCATTTGGGGTCAGACATCCAGGGCAAATTTCATGTCATGTCAGTTCTACAAGCTAAGAAATGTAATAATTCCTTCCTACTTATCCACATGGTGTATCTTTCCTACTGTCTAACCTCCTACCTCCCTACTTATCCACATAGTATAACCTCCCTACTTATCCACATAGTATAACCTCCCTACTTATCCACATAGTATAACCTCCCTACTTATCCACATAGTATAACCTCCCTACTTATCCACATAGTATAACCTCCCTACTTATCCACATAGTATAACCTCCCTACTTATCCACTTATCCACATAGTATAACCTCCCTACTTACATGTAAGATGGAGCCCTACTTATCCACATATAACCTCCCTACTGGCATGGTATAACCTCTGCTTATCACATAGTATAACAGGACAGCAATAAAACCTTACCCCACATAGTATAACCTCGCTGATTTAAATACATCTGAAACATAGGAGAACAACAAAAAATTACCCAGGGGCATGTTTTACATCTGAAACATAGGAGAACAACAAAATTACATGTTTACAGCGGGTGTTGGAGGGTGGTGACACATGTAGTCTTACCTTGGGAAGGTGAACTTGTAAAAACTTACCTCTGTTCTCCCAATGGTACAATGGGATACATGGTCATAAGACCATCGAACCTTCTAGCGCCTCACAGGCAGCTTGGGTTGCAGAGCACATTGAGCGAGGTAATATTGTTAGCGCTTTAAACATATACCTATTGTGTTTATGTCAGCACAATGTAAGTACACACATTATTGTTGTACACACTGTTCTACTGCACATATACAAGTTTCTGAACAATTTCAGATTTAAACATCAGCTTCCATGGTTGACTGTATATTATGTTGATCTCAAGGTAGTTTCCTAGATATTTATAACAGACCATATTAACAGAGACCTTATAGACATTTATCACTACTTACTTTCAACTCAGAAAAAAAAGGAGAACAGCTTGTTAGACCAAGAAATATATCATCGCACTTGTCAACATGATCATGTAAAAGACCCCCTCGAAGGCTACTCACATGTTTTCAGCCAGTAATGCATTGGGAGGTTCCAGTTCCGCACTACGTCTACCAGCGATCTGGGCAGCTCCATGCTCAACGGCCGAGCCACAGACTTCTCCCTAGGAAAAGATGTGGGGATGTACATATAACCAAGGAAAGAAGTTTACTCAGAATGAAGGGTCCAGTTTCAGACCCGGACAAATTTGGCTTTAGTTATTCAGTATCTTGGCCAGATTCTACACATAGTCTTATCAAAATCACGAAATCAATATTAACAGCAAGTTTGTTCATAAACAGAATGGTGATTGCAGTGTAGATATTGGATGGTTACAACCGCTCATACGCAGATACTTTAATAAATCTTTTCATGCCATTAACCATGGTGTTGAAGTGATTTGATGCACTTTGTGAGGAACACCTGGAGTATTGTTGAGAAAATCTTGACTGTGTGCCGACGATTTGTTCTGGCGCTACAATCAACCAACAAAGACCAGCTTAGTTCAGGTAGGGAGGAGGGGGACTTTTACAGACAGTTATTTCAGAATCCTCTGGAACATGTAATACTGGAACAGTACTAGTACCCCACTCAGACACAGTTGACGACTCTGAAGTCGACCAGTTCATGTTTCATTCCCTTAATACAGAGTGCCAGTTAACATGATAACAAGAAGTAACATCTCTACAGGTTTTAGGGTACAGATGTCAGATTAATGTGTGATGGAAGGCTGAAGTGATGCCGATGTTTACCGCTTCAGTGAAACCACCAAGTATGGCATTGGTGCTGGCAAACCAAGAACGATGATCAGGAAAAATGTGGGATTCAAACCAACAATCAGCACATCCTGACACAACTAAGGGAGGTACACAAGGCTACCATTACATCAACCAACTTTACAGATCATTGCATCTATTCATGTAGTGGTAGATTGTATATACTGGGACCTAGCTCTCACCATAGAACCTGGTCCTCCACAACAGTCGAACCCAGACCAGACAGCGTCGACGTTGTCTCGGAGATGTAGCTGACGAAGTAGTGGCTGAAGCGGAAGGACTGTGCATCCCGATAGGCTATCATCCACCTGAAACACACACACCCTCTAATGACAACTGAACACATTAGTTTCTTTAAATAATGTAATTGTTTTCCTTCTGATCTACAAACAAGAAACCTTAGATAGCTCATATCTCACTGATTCATGCATATTCAGGACCATATTCCAATATCTCTACAGTGCAATATAATGCTAACAAATCACACTGGGTTTACTGCTGCATGGTGCAACAGAGCGATACTACTACAAGCCAGTATTACAACATGAATATATCATTACATTGCCATTTTACTAACTTACTACATGGCCCTATTATTGTACTGCTATATTTCTGACTGGATATATCACTACATGGCTACATTGTAACGCAGCTACATGGCTACATTGTAACACAGCTACATGGCTACATTGTAACGCAGCTACATGGCTACATTGTAACACAGCTACATGGCTACATTGTAACGCAGCTACATGGCTACATTGTAACAGCTACATGGCTACACTGTAACACAGCTACATGGCTACATTGTAACGCAGCTACATGGCTACATTGTAACACAGCTACATGGCTACACTGTAACGCAGCTACATGGCTACATTGTAACACAGCTACATGGCTACATTGTAACGCAGCTACATGGCTACATTGTAACACAGCTACATGGCTACATTGTAACGCAGCTACATGGCTACTGACTTGTTAGCACTGTCGAGGATGAACCACTGGGTGAAACAGGTTGAGTAGATGAGACAGACAAGGGAGAGCACTGCGCTGGACACCACCTTCCACATCCATGAGAGAGACTGCAGGAAGATACAGGCAGGTCACACAACATGGCTCTCCATTGACACAGACCTAGAAACTACTAGACATGTCAGTATACTGCCATATTCCTAAAATCAAGAAACACTTCGTGATTACAATCCTTGGTACATTATCTCAGAGCAATCTCCAAGGAGAATTGATGAATTTGCATCACAATGCTTTTTCAACTAGCTGTGATGTCATCACTTCTTATGACATCACAATGAAATGCCATCACTAATCTCTCTAAAACTGAAGATGGCCACCTGTAGCATTTACTGTCAAGGTCTTGGTTATGTACAAACTGAAAGAGTTGAAAGAATCTCAACAAAGTCTGTTTTGATATCAGACATATCAACACTAGTTGATAAAAGTTCAAATATTTTAAATCAAAAGACATTTCCAAAGATTCATCAGCACTGACTCAACATGAAAGTCAGACGAGGCGTAGTGGACAAGCAAACCCAGTAAAGTAAACTCTAAACACGTGATGCTTCTGTGTAGCAGATAATAATTGCAATAATTACATAAATAGAACATCTCTGTTTCATGCGTGTCATTTACAATACATCTAGATTGAGGCTGAAAATTGGACACGTCATCATGAGTCATTATGAAATCGAAGCCACTATTTCAATTTCTTCTCACCGAGGGTAATGCTTTAGAACAGATATTAATACAATTATAACATGCTTCAAAACTTTAGTTTAAGTATGCTGCATTGTTGAGAAATATCCTGATGAGGGACTTGATGCATGTGAAGATCAATTCTGTTTTTGAAAAGTGCACCTCTAATAACCGATGCTGAAGATCTGTACTCACTATTGTTTGTGTGCTCTGTTCTAATGTTGTCACATAATCCTGGTAGCTGACCCACGGTCCAAACACCACAGTTCCAACATTCAGACAGTAGCCAAGGAATTCAAATATAGTTGGAAGAGACATAACAGCACCGTTACCAAGGTCAAACGACACCGATATAATCTTCATGGACAGAATCATCTGAGCACCTGGAATGTTGAAGTGCAAATACAATCAGCATTCAAGAACTTAGACAAAGTGTCAATTTGTCACAAAATTGTATTACATGTATTTATTCTATTCAGCATACAAAAGAGTTATTCAATATTTGTTTAAGCTCCAAGTTCTGATGAAGTAAACATACTAACCTCGTATCATATGCCAGGTGGTATTATCTATCAAGAATTCACTGCAAAGAAAATATATGTAGCATATGAGTGAGTGAGTGAGTGAGAGTTTCAAATGCTTTTGGAAATATTCCAGCAATATCACAGCAGGGATCACCAAAAATGGGCTTTACACATTGTACCCAGGTGGGGATCAAACCCGGGTCTTCAGCGTGACGAGCAAACACTTCAACAACTAGGCTACCTCACTGCCCCTGTACCCTGCCACATTACATCTCAAGCCACAAGAAGACTAGTATTGTATGTGAGTGAGCATCATACCCATTTATATTCCCTGCCGAACCCTATCTGCGAAGTTGGATTATTGTTGCTGAGAGATGAGTATCACCATCATTGTCTTTTCTGGTAGAATCACTGCTCTTGTATCAGATTACCTCTGAATGTGTACTGCTACACAATACTCCCATAGGGATACCTTTGTATTGATTTGTACTCCCATAGGGATACCTTTGTATTGATTTGTACTCCCATAGGGACACCTTTGTATTGATTTGTACTCCCATAGGGACACCTTTGTATTGATTTGTACTCCCATAGGACACCTTTGTATTGATTTGTACTTTAGGGACACCTTTGTATTCCCATAGGATTTGTACTCCATAGGGATTGGATTTGTATTCCCATTTGTGTATTCCATTTGATTATTGATTTGTACCCATAGGGACACCTTTGTATTGATTTGTACTCCCATAGGGACACCTTTGTATTGATTTGTACTCCCATAGGACACCTTTGTATTTTGATTTGTACTCCCATAGGACACCTACCTTTGTATTAGGGATTTGTATTGATTCCATAGGACACACCTTTGTATTGATTAGTACTCCCATAGGGACACCTTTGTATTGATTTGTACTCCCATAGGGACACCTTTGTATTGATTTGTACTCCATAGGGACACCTTTGTATTGATTTGTACTCCCATAGGGACACCTTTGTATTGATTTGCAATAGGGACACCTTTGTATAGGGACACCTTTGTATTGATTTGTACTCCCATAGGGACACCTTTGTATTGTATTGTACTCCCATGGGATACCTTCCATAGGGACACCTTTGTATTGATTTGTACTCCCATAGGGACACCTTTGTATTGATTTGTACTCCCATAGGGACACCTTTGTATTGATTTGTACTCCCATAGGGACACCTTTGTATTGATTTGTACTCCCCCTTTGTATTGATTTGTACCTCCCCATAGGGACACCTTTGTATTGATTTGTACACCTTTGGGATTGATTTGTATTGATTTGTATCCCATAGGGACCTTTGTATTGATTTGTACTCCCATAGACCTTTGTATTGATTTGTACTCCCATAGGGACACCTTTGTATTGATTTGTACTCCCATAGGGACACCTTTGTATTGATTTGTACTCCCATAGGGACACCTTTGTATTGATTTGTACTCCCATAGGGACACCTTTGTATTGATTTGTACTCCCATAGGGACACCTTTGTATTGATTTGTACTCCCATAGGGACACCTTTGTATTGATTTGTACTCCCATAGGGACACCTTTGTATTGATTTGTACTCCCATAGGGACACCTTTGTATTGATTTGTACTCCCATAGGACACCTTTGTATTGATTTTTACTCCCATAGGGACACCTTTGTATTGATTTGTACTTCCATAGGGACACCTTTGTATTGATTTGTACTCCCATAGGGATACCTTTGTATTGATTTGGTGAAGTTTAGAATACAATTGGAAATTACAAATTTCCTTGTCTGTTGGTTTCACACATAGTTCTCGTATGGACTGATTCTTGGTTAACTATAGTTTCAACTTGGGAATCAACATGCAACATGACATTAATCAGTAAAGTAACTTCATATCTTATTAATAATCTTCTCCGTAGGCAGCGATCACAGAGCTGTATCTTTAATATAGATGTGAAATCAGGATCAGTGTGTGGGATTCAACTTTATTAACCTTTGAAGGTGAAATTTCAGTAAAGATGTTGATGCCTGTATCAAACAAATGAAAAATGTACCAGCAAATACACTGAAATATCACAATGAAAGAATAATAAAGTTGAACTCCATACATTGATATTGTTTTCATTCATAGATTAATCCACGTACCATACTATGATATATACAACAATCACTATGGAGACAGTGGCGCCACAGAGATGGCGCCAATAGACACTGGTGACTACCAGAGCGATGTAGGCAACAGCGCAGCCAGCAAGGAGGTACAAGAGGGAGATGTTGAAGAAGTTGTGCAGGACGATGATACCAAACATGGCACTGGACAGATGCAGGAACCAAGGGGGAGCACCAAGTTCACCAGAGCCTGGAGATATACACACCAACTGGGAAATAACATGTGTATAGCGATATACTAAATAACATATATACCTGGTCCTAACATGGTCAGGTCATATTGCTTGCAATTCAACACATATTTTATTGAAAAGACCAACAAAACATTGGTCAATGAAACTACCAATACTTTTCTATTAACTCACTGGACACCACACAACATGTCCTGAGGAGATATGTATGTATGCTATAGTACAAAAAAGGGGTTAACACCAGATGCCAATTTCATCTACGAGTGAGTGAGTATGGGTTTACGCCACTTTTAGCAGTATTCCAGCAATATCATGGTGGGGGGACACCAGAAATGGGCTTCACACAGTTTATCCATGTGGGGAATCGAACCCGGGTCTTCGGCATGACGAGCAAACGCTTCAACCACTAGGCTACCCAACCGCCCCATTTCATCTACGAAGAAATGGTACAACACAAGGATTGGGCGCCCCTTCCAGTGTCACTGTAAAGAGGTGGGCAGTACACAGCATAGAATGTCTCAATGTACCCTGGTACCCTGTGAAATTTTTTTCAAAACTCCACTGGACACTTGACCACAATTAATTATTGGTTTCTTTTGCAAATAATCCTTTTCAATTGGTAGCAATTGCATTTTTGTTTCATCATCAAAATACATATATCAAAATATTTCAGTAGTTTGGCCATACTGTACCACAGTAAAGTTGAATGTGGATGTTTACTTGACCGACCAGAGAATTCCACTCGCTCCAGGCGTCGGGCAATGGTATTTTTCAACCCCTGGGTACAATCACTGTTAATGTCAAATGTAAGGTTTAGCCTTACAGTGATGGGTATTACTCTCCTTGATGGGAAGCATTGTAAAAGAATATCAATAAGAAAAATGTGTCATCAATCGTATATCAATATCTTACATAAACTATTGTGATGAAAGTATTAATTTACCATAACAGACTTGTGCCTTAGACAGAACAGAATCTGCCAGTCCCGTGTTTCCTGTTTGAATGCACTACTTTGCATTTATAGCTCCCATAAAATTGTTGAGTCATGCGCTGGGATTGGAACCACATACCCCCTGATCCTAAGTCGGACACCTTGTCCACATGACCAAAGCAAGCTGACATGGTAAGGATGACTCCACACCCTGATACGTCTCTGATATTTATCATTTACCACTGATATTTGTATATTTATTGATCTCTAAGATCTGTATCGACAGCTAGACCTGTTTGACAGATTACTTTGGAGGAGCCACCACATACTGGTAAACAGACAGAAGGGACACAGATAAAGGCTAACTTTGTAATCTAGCATCTTCGGTTACACTTCAGAAATATTTTTAAGGAGGTACTTAGCAAGATATTAGCACCAGCAAATTGAAACTAAAATCTGAAGACATGTCTTCTCAACAAACAAAAACTCCACTTTTAAAAGTAATGACACAACTGCGTGTATCCCACAATCCTGCTGCCAAGATGTATCCCTGTGTGGCTTTTAAAATGAAAACAGACATAGAATTGACAAGCAATCCCAGACAAGTGACCTTGAGTCCACAGAACTCTCTATAAAATCACGTGACCCTCTGCTACTTACCCCTGGCACCCAGAAGGCACACAATTCTGAAAGACAAGCACATGATGAGGAGAGTCAGCAAGTTCTGGACGGCCTGGGTTATGGTTGGGTGGAGGCAGTTCTCGTACAGGTCCATGAAAGGCACACGGGTGTATTCTGGATCAGATCCCATCTCTTGTTTATATGAAGCCAACAGTTCCGCCAACTCAGGGCCATATTCCTCATCTTCTAAGTACCGCATCAAGTCTGCCTCGTCATAATCCTCGTAAAACTCGGGATCAAAGTCCATCTCCATCCTGAGGTCTGGCTGAAAACAGAACAGTTTGAAAATCACTTTCTATTCCAATAGTTCTTTGTTGGAGACCCTTTAAAACTGATAATATTTCTTCATTATTGAAAGGAAAATATAGGCAACTACTTTCGACAATTACCTATGAGGTGACCTTGACAACTGACATAACTTATTCTTCGCACGAGGATCTGAAGCCATCTCAACAAGAGGTCATACAAAGTCAACATTTCTAATCAATGCTGAGTGCCAAGGCTTCTGAATCCTTGGTACAATAGAGTGAAGTACTCAATTGAAGTACTATTTCTGTAGCACTGAAATGACAGCTTACAAATGTAGATAAATATCACCATGCCATATCTTACACACCCTGTTGTTTCTGATCACACTGGTATCGACACCTAATGACCAGCAAGGCAATATTTGTGTTCTGAGTCGAGTTCGCTTTTGTTGGAAGGGAAATATCTGTATCCAGGTGATAACGATACGAAGACACATCACCACAGAAAGCTGACAACTTATTGGCTAAAGAACCCACATATCCTGAAAGTGGATGTTTATCGGAATGAATACCCTGGAGGTTATCAATTCAATTCATTTTATTCTCAAAAAGAACCACCCACGGTGGTACAGGAGAAAAGTTTTCCAAAAATAACAATAATTTGTACTTTACATGATGGCGGTTATGTTGTACAGATAATTGGCGACATTAAGATATTGTGACTGAAAACAATGATGAATGTATAAATCTAGACAGATAAATATAAAATCCGCATCAGAAATTCTGTACTCATGTCGAAGGCACTTATCTATTATACAGATGAATTGTGCAATGTTCTTGATTTCTTTTACATTTCTACTACTCAACAATTTTTTGTACTTTATTATATGAGGGAACTGTATGCATTTATTTGGGATAAATTTGAATCTGCATCGAGGATGGAAGTAAGATTGTGTGTTCAAGGTTCAGGAAGGGTTCTCCTGCAGTGCGCATCTACAAAGGTGATCTAACACAGAGAGGCATCAAGTTGAAATACTACACATCACAATAAATGTGCCAAAACAAGTCATCTGGACAAAGTTCATTCAAGCATAAGTGTTAATGTAGAGGTCATTAGAAAAACAAATGTTTGACCATCAAGGCAAAAATAAGGTATGATCTCAGCGATTGATTTCAACGTATCCAATCATCACCAGTGCAGGTAAAATATTGCTGGTGCAGGGAACTTGTATTGACAGGTTGCACCCAGATCAGACAACATTTTTGACAAGTTTATTGCAGCAGTTTTACTGATATATAAGTTTCTTGTATTGACCAGCGTTACTAAATGGAACACCCACTGTGTACGCAATCTTATGACATTTCATGGAAGTTCTGAGGTCACTGTAAAATCTGTTACTTGTAATGTAAAGTAAATTTTGTAAACTATGGTCAAGCAGAGATAAATAGTCAACCGGATAGAATTTAAGAATTTAAGATTATTGTGCTTGTATACAAAGCTGTTCACGGTATTTGCCAATCGTACATCAACGAACTGATCCAGTGCCATCAACCGTCCCGTTCCCTACGTTCTAGTAGTGCCCAGTTACTAGTTGTGCCGCGTACGAGGACGAAGACATTTGGAGACAGATGTTTTGCAAAAGCAGGTCCTATCTTTGCAACATCATCCCATTGGGCATTAAATGTGCAGAGGAAATCTGTACATTTAAGAGAATGTTAAAAACATTCTTTTTCAAGACATATTACAGTTCCGAGTGACTCACACAAAAACGCCCCTAGCCATAAATTATGAACGGTCCCTTAGTTCTGATGATATTGAAGTCAGCCATGAATATCAATCTCAGTCTGCTCACCAATCATCTGCTGTCAGCGTCTACAAACGGATTGTTGAGAACATGGTGCAGACTCAGTAATTTATTCTCTTGCACCTGGTGCAGGTAGTGAAAAATATATAACGGTATCCTGGCTCTGCATATAAAGTAGAAAGATAGAAGAATAATGTTGTTTATGAGTTAACAAGGATTTATCAAGGAGTGCCCTTAGCAGAGAACTTGGGATTGATACACAAAATATTGTTAAATATGTGGATTTTTAAGTCCTTATTTCCTCAAATCAAGAGTACTTAAAATTGCTAAGATTCCCTGTCATTATAACAGTGGAACACTTGACCGATCCACACACAGCTCACAATGCATTCAACGAACAACTGAATGGCTTCAGTCCATTAATCATGTGCTACATTCCATACACCAAGAGAAAGGTGGTCATGCATTATGATTAATAACCTGGGCAGACGTTCTGTCTGAGCACCCTGGCAGTGTACAGCTCCAGTTGCCTGTGAGGTGCTGGAGGGTTAACAGTCACATAGCTGTCAGCAATCACTATTGCAGCTATTTCCTGGGATGATGTTGTCATCAATATTTATCAATATCTTGCTATCAAAACAATTGAAACAGTTTGATATTCCATTGTATGCGCGTTATAAACATCTTATCAGCTTGGTGAACAGGGACATATTTCCAACAAAGTCCCTTGCCTAAAACACCATACATGGGTTTCTTACAGAAATGAATCCCAACATCATTTGGGAAAAGTCAGACTTATGTTGGAAACATAACATAACAATAATCTAACATTTCTCACCAGCAAAAGCCTGGACAGATGGATACCCTCTATATGACTTGCCAGAAAAGAAAATACCAGTTGAACAAGTCTGAAACCAGTCACACAAACTGGATTGAGAGAAACAAACTGTCATAAAGTAAAATGTCAATCAAACAGATGTTGTGAAGTGACTCACACAGAAAACTTGGATCATGGAGTAAGTGAGTTGGTGAGTGGGTGAGTGAGTAGGTTAGTGGGTGAATGAGTGAGTGGGTAGGTGGATGAATGAGTGAGTGAGTGGGTGGATAAGTGAGTGAGTGAGTGGGTGGTTGGGTGGGTGAGTGAGTGAGTGCAATACATATCACTGAATATAATCACAGGCTAGGTGTATCCACCTGGGTGGGTGAGTGCTTCCAGTTATACCATGGTGTGTTACTGTGGGGAAGCCTTCAGTGATGTTTACTACTTTAGTGAAACCCATGAGCTCTAGTGTGTGGTCACACTCTAACAAACATAATCGGGGGAAATCAAAAACAAAGGTCTTTTGTTCAAAGAACACAACTCCACACAACAAACTACTGCACCTTAGACACCTGTGCCGCCCATCTTGTTTATCACTAAGAGAAGATTGACGCCATCAAAAACTAACAAATATCAGTTAATCTTTCGTGGAGAGACATATAAGTGGGGAACATTCCCATCAGTAAACTCATTAATAAAACCAGGGAGACTCTATAAGGGGGAGTGGTCACTCCTCGGAAAGCTCCTAAGCTATGCCTCGGCTCGTCACGTGACCAGTGCAGCCAATATGGCGGCAGCGTAGTTTTTAAGATTGAGCCCGGTTTATTTTCAACAGCTGATTACATACGCTGAGTGTTGTGACAACTGAAAACCTACATGTAGAAGATAAGTTACCTATTCTGTCACTTCATTTTAAGTCAAATACTTGTTATTAGTGTCAGTATAAGTACAGTAGCTTTGTAGTAAAGTTTCAAGTGGGCATGTTGTAGCTCACTGGCTTCAATTCTCAGTACACAGCGAAGAAAGACTAACTTATATCGCTAAAAACTTCTTTCACATATTCGTTTAATTTTTAGAAGGGAAATATACCTTTTGTTAAAAGGTGTTTGCAAGTAATAGTGATATTTTTATAACTAAAAAAATTTGTTAGGGTGTATTTGAGGTGTGTGAAAAATATGACATATCACCGAATCTGCCATTGAAATACTACAGGGCGTTGTTTGAGTGTTTCTAGTTAGTGTTCAAAACATCTTCACATACACCTTCAATTTTTATGAGGGAATATACCATCAGGTGAAAGGTGTTTGCAAGTAATAGTAATAGTTTTATAATTTAAAAAAAAATTGTTAGTGTGTATTTGAGGTGTGTACAAAATATGACATATCACGATCTGCCATTGAAATACTACAGGGCGTTGTTTGAGTGTTTCTAGTTAGTGTTCAAAAACATCTTTCACATACACCTTTAATTTTTATGAGGGGAATATACCATCAGGTGAAAGGTGTTTGCAAGTAATAGTAATAGTTTTATAATTTAAAAAAAAAAAATGTTAGTGTGTATTTGAGGTGTGTGAAAAATATGACATATCACGATCTGCCATTGAAATACTACAGGGCGTTGTTTGAGTGTTTCTAGTTATTGTTCTAAAACATCTTTCACATACACCTTTAATTTTTATGAGGGGAATATACCATCAGGTGAAAGTTTTTTGCAAGTAATAGTGATAGTTTTATTTATTTTTTTTGTTAGTGTGTATTTGAGGTGTGTGAAAAATATGACATATCACCGATCTGTTCTGATCATGCATTGGTGCTTGTGATGCTTGAGTGTTATAGTTCTAAAACTTCTTTCTTTCTTGTTGATCTTAGTATTTGACAAAACTGGAAAGGTGTTTGCAAGGCTTTGTGATAGTTCTAAACTTTCTGTTCTTGAGGGGTCTGTGACAGTGTCAGTTAACATTCTGTCAATGCCCATGTCATTCCACACATGCAATAAGATATCTGAATTAGTTACTAATGTAAAAAAATGTCTCAAAGTAGATTTTTATAAAAAGGACAGCTGATGTTAACATGTGTTCTACCGATAGTTTTATGTTCTTTAACATGTTTGGGGAGGGATGGCCGTGGTGTATCATTTATTCTTTCATTCATTCACATATGTTCTTTTTCTTTTGTTCTTTTTCTTAATTTCTTTCATTCATTCACATAAAATTCTTGCTCTTAATTCATTCATTCATTCATTGTAAAATTCCGACCTATACAATACACTGGCTGAAGTACTGTTAAACGCAGCCGAAGTTGCGCTGGGACCGAACCAAGTCACTGTGTGCGTTGGAGCATGACGAGGCACACGCTAATTAGTACAAATGGTAAAGAAAGCAAGCGAGTCACCTATCCCTGTTGTAGAGTATCCCTGATAAAACAAATCCTACAATATGGCAGGCAAACGTCAAAAACAGCAATACACATCACTGAACATAATCACAGGCTAGGTGTAAACATGTATATAGTTAAAGCTTTATGTAAACAATATCTTGAAAGGTTGGATATATTCCACATGTCATATCACAAAACACAACATTCTATCCAATATTCAAATCAAACAAACCAGGTATTCAAGATGCCGTTACCGTTCTACCTGTGCTGTTCCCACATCTGTTCCAAGTGAGGGTGGCGTCAAATACTCCCTCGTCTCACAATAAATAATATAGCCACTGGCAGGCAGGACATAGATCTGGGTGTCGAGTTACCCCTTAATCATTAATGCAATGTTTTCTCTTCACTAGATCCATATGCTGCAGGTAAAAAAACCTGATGAATATTTGATCCATTGATGATGAATACTGCTCGTTAGGTATTGAGGACACTGTATAGTGAAATATGTTCATGTCTAGTTGAAATGAACAAAGTTACTGACACGTGACACATTGTTAATCAAATTGTACTCTGTCTTAACTGGTGTTTCTAATAGACTAATATCACAATGTTTTCATTTACCAGAACCTGCTTCAGTTCAATTGATTTTTCAAGGTAATAATGTCTCTGTGATCTTGGAGATAAACAGATATGGGAAAAAACATATCATGGATACAAAATGAGAGTGGCTTGAAAATGTATTTTCTGACTAAAAGTACTAAAATTAAAATGATAAATATATTATTGATGTGTGTTAAGAGAGTGCCCTTTATCTGTTCAGGCTTGCTCTGTGTTGAGTTTTGTGTCATGATGATTGTCGAAACTACAGAAACAGTTGTAACAACATCTTGAACACACTGGAACCAAGTATAGACCACAAATATTATGAATCATTTTTTAAGGACAATTTACTATCATCAATAGCTAAAAATAACCTTTTTGATGATGGAAATGAATTTATTATCAGAGTGGTTGATCACAGATGCAAAATCAGCATCGCTTACACAGAACATGTATGGCTGAATGACTTTATTATGTGTAAACATATCTTCTGTTTTGATGCAGAAACATGAGATGACCCTCTAGTTCAGTGTAGTACATTGTTCAACTCATGCTCAAGATATCTGCACGAAATATTCCTGACATAGACGACAACACTATAAATATGAGTGTTGTTCCTTTTAAATTTAATCTTCAGATTATTGTAAATAGCTGACAAGACAGAACAATCAGTTCCTGCACATTGCATAAAGGTAGAGGTATATCCAACATATCTTTACAGTAATGGAAATAACATTTCTGAGTCCCATGCTGGGATTCGAACCACGGGTCTTCTGATCTGAGGTCGGGCACCTTGTCCACATGATAAAAGAGGTTAACCCTGTCAGTAAGCTGACAAGGTAAGGATTTCATCTATGGGATGACTCCACACCCTGTTACAATAGTAGTGGCTATGTAAAATGGTGACGTCATGATCAATTTGGGGTGGGGGTAGGTTTTAAATATTTCACCTTGTTTTACCTGCTGTGGTGATTCTGTACAAACATCATTAGACCTCTTACATATTAACTTGACTTGAAAAATATTGAATGAAAAACTTTGTTTGATGGAAACCTTGCAGACCTTTACGGAGTACAACCAACCCAAATCTAATCTGAAAGCAAGTGCAATTTCATATTTCACTGTTTCTGAATGACAACACCGATGCTGCAAACAATACAACAACAGCTGTTAAATACTGACATGACATTGACGAACACATTATTGACTAGAAACTGAGAAAACAATATTTCATTCTAACTAGTAAATATCATGATTAATTACTCTTTCTTCAATGGGACCGCCTTTGTGGTGTAGTGGTTAGAGTAGAAGCTAGGCCACTGGTTTGATCCCCAGCCACGACATTAAAATATGGTACTTGTTGGTGCCTGCCTGGCACACAGCATTTATGGGTACAACAAGGACTAGTCGGCTCGGAGTCAGTATAATGTGTCTGAGTGGGCGGAAAGAGTTCCTTACGTAATCCCCGCCTATTTTTGTGATGAGCAAACACTATGGTTTAGTCTATAGTTTAATAGTTTATAGTTAAAAATTAGGTGGGGGGTACGTAAGGAACTCTTACCGAGTGGGCTATTAATGCTGAATTGTAGTCTGTCTCACAGTCCCTGAACCACATTATTTTCCCTACTGCCAAGCCCTCTCTGCAGTGCTAAAGCACTAAATAAAGCAAGTCTAGATTTCCTCAGGTTCTGAATCTCTGGTCTCTCTTGGGCTCCTTTTCAATATAAATGGGCTTGTCTGTTACTATGAAAATTATTTATTCAGAGACTAAGCATTAGCTTAACTGAGGCATGGTATCTCAGTGAGCTAGCACTTTAAGACCAGCTCAAATCTAGTACAAGCAGCCACACATACACACGTATGCACTTCGTCATGTGAGGAAAATATTCTTACGACATTACTCCCCATTTCACCTCACTTCACCTCTTTCTTCAAAGTTGCAAATGCTTGTATGTACCTGACTGACTAGTGATTGTTTACAAAACTTTTCTTTAAAAGTTGTTAAAAAACAAGCTAGATCCACAAAAGCATTGTTTCTGTTTTCAAGATCTGTTAATTGACATCTAAATTAAAAGTTAATCTCACACATATTTGACCCTTTTTAAGCTAAAACTCTGCGAGTAAAACTTGTGCCTCAAATGATATCAAATGAGCAGCTGAGTGATTTAGGAAGTAAGGGAGGTAATTCACCCTTACCCTCTAAATAAAAATATTCAGAAGCATGGGGACTCATTGAAAAGTCTCGTTGGTGTACAACAGTTAATACGTGTTGTACTAATCTCCCCACATTTGTAACAACGTATTTACATGTACTGCCAACAAAACGAATAAAACAAAACTTGTATCGATGACGTGTTGAAATTCAACACTTCAATCACTTACTGTTCACCGCAAGATCCCCGTTCCAAGATAAGTCTACTGGCAGTTACCAGTTGAGGAGTGGGACGACTCTTCTAGAAGCTGTTTGTTGATTAAATGTGTTCATAGGTTGGCGTGCCATTACACTTGCACTCGGTCGTGCTTTGCATCTGCTCGAGTTTACGGAGTTCATATTCGGACATATTTTCAGCCCGGCCCGATTACTTCAAGTAAGCCGCCATGTCGTAGAGGGCGAGTCTATTTTCAGCTGATAGGGGTGATGGTTGCCGGATTTTAACTCCTCCGGTTTCATTCCGAATATATGCGTTACTATGCAGAGGAAAAGTCATTCCAACCATGAGAAACTAATTATCAGTACATTAACTTTCGGCGTGGGTAATAAACCACCAGAGGAAACAGCAACATTGGTTATAAATGAAACGGTCCATGTGTCTGATCAATGGTTTAGATCTTGATAACGGGATGTTGCCAAGCTTGGCGGAATATCTATTGTCGAAGCTGTATTTCTGTGACGCCATGAACACGGAAAACGTTCTCAAGGGAGGCCATTGTGTTATAAATCTGAAATAAGGACAAATTTGAGAAGAAATGTCTTTTTTCGTTTTAACACGCCGGTTTTACAATTTACAATCAAGTTATGAATAATAATATCATACAGCTTCACACTTTTATTGCCATCAAATGTCAGATGTTATTTGGTTACAGTTTTCAGAGATACTTATATTGGCTTTTGTTTCAAGATTGTTATACATGTTTGATCAGGGAGAATAGAAGACTAGATTATCCCTGGTTTGATGAACTGCTAAAACCGTTTCCGTAACGGTACATTGGTAAGAATAGTTGGGATTTTGTGAAAATACAAAGTCTACGCCAGGGAACTACTAGTCTTGATTATCTGGCGACGCAGATTCTGTTGCGCGCACATTAACACAATCCCAATACCACTGAAAATCAGTGATGACACCAGGTGTTCGCGAAAGGACAGCGTGTCCTGCCTTGCCAGTTGCACCCACCACTAACGCAATTTCCTGCCATCGTATCCAGGCAGTGCGTAGATCAATCACATCGTTGTCTGGTTAGACTCGACAAATTTACAAACCGCCTTCTTGAAGTTGGTACATTGAGTACGGCGTGAAGCAATACATAAACAGAGTGAGTTTGTGAGTTCAGTTTTACGCCGCACTCAGCAATATTCCAGCTATATGGCGGCGGTCTGTAAATAATCGAGTCTGGACCCGATAATCTAGTGATCAACAGCATGAGCATCGATCTGCGCAATTGGGAACCGATGACATGTGTCAGCCAAGTCAGTGAGCGAGTGACCACCCGACCCCGTTAGTCGCCTCTTACGACAAACATGGGTTACTGAAGATCAATTCTAACCCGGACCTTCATGGGTATACACAAACAGAATTTTCTAAAAAAAATATAACAAGCAATCTGCATTAAAATGTAAGTGTGGGAGGGGTGACACGGAAATTTGTTAAAGCGTCATTGACCAATGAAATTAAAGTATTTTACATGAAGGTAAGATAATGATATTTCTCGCTACAATATTGTTCTACGTCACGTTCAGTAAATACGAATGTTGATATGTTGAGAGGTTAATGAGTGAGTGAGTTGAGTGTTTCACTTCTTAATATTCCAGTTGCATCACCGCCTGTGAGTTTAATGTGAGTGGAAATCCAGTGAAGTGATGCAGGTACCACACATTCAACACCTAACAATTAATTGTTTGGAAGCTTTATTACCAAATATATAGTTCGGCGAATAAAGGATATATAATAAACTGGGTAAATAATGCAATATGTAAACCATAAGCCAGAAGCAGTGGAATATATTTAAATGTATTTTCACATGTAACATTGGTGAACGCCAAAGATGTATTTTTAGCCTTTCCTACTTTTCCAACAATCACCTTGCTGCACTGATTAAGGATAATTGTGTTTACAACCGTAACAAATTATAAATAACCGGGGATAACGTACTGAGATTTCTTTTCTGAAATTATTACTTTTACTTCTTAAGGTGTATAGATGTTGATGAGAAAAATAACCTCGGCTGCGTCAGTTATTACTATGGACATTTATCGTAAATCTCTACATCATTTCGGTATTATATTTCAATATTAACATCTTTATATCTTCAGTCTATATTGTTATAAAATCATCTACATATATTCCTGGCGATATATTTCTAATTATTTCCAGTCAAATAGAAATCCTCACTGAGTTCTGTAAGTAACACGATGCGCCAACGTATACCAGATCCTTTCAAGTCTAAGATAGCGAGCAAGAAATTAGGACATCACTGGAAACGCCGGTGTGTAAACTGTAAATGTCATACCGCAGATAAAATGTTAAAGCAGCTTAGAGCTACCTTCCTATTCTTAAATGGATAAAAACAACGTGTAACAGGAAGCCGTGGCAAAATGAATTATTGAAGAAATGGAAGTCAGATAATAACTGCTCGTATCCTTTTTTCCAATTTGTCTCACGTTACCTGAATGAAAACCAACTCGCAATTAAACGTACGAAATCAATGTCGAACATATACTAGTACTCAAAAAAAGTATTCATTTCATACAAAGTTAAAATCACCGTTTGGCTGACGTGAGGTGAAATTGAATTAACGTCGTGCTTGAGAATATTTCGCTCATATGACGACGTGCATGCGTGTGTATGTGTATGTGCGGCTGCTTGTACTAGCCCAGACTGAAGCTGGTTTTATAGTGCTAGCCCACTGAGATACCATGCCGCAGTGAAGCATGAATACCCCACTCAGACACATTATACTGACTCCGAGCCGACCAGTCCTTGTTGTACCCATTAATGCCGAGCGCCAGGCAGGGACCAACAAGTACCATATTTTAACGTCTTTTGGTATGACGCGGTCGGGGATCGAACCCGCGACCTTCCGCAGTCCGGGCGGACGCTCTAACCACTACACCACGGTGGCTGACACTGAAAGACACGTAGTATCATAGTCTGAACTTTTACACAAATCAACAAGGCGGTTTTCTCTGCAAAATGTTATAAAATGTTGAATTAATAGTGAGTGTGACACCATTTGCTTCAATACACGCCAAAACATGTCGGCGCATTGGTGACGTACGACGACGAATGGCGTTTGGCGTGATCTGCACACTCCGGCGCAGTGATGACTTATCATGGAACTCTGGGTAGGAGAGTGCGTGATCTGCTGCCATTGCTGTAGGAGACATTGTTCCAGATGTTGAGCGGTGACAGGTGGCGCTGGTAGTCTTCCGGTTTGTCGATCCAGGGAGTCCCATAAGTGTGCTTCTATCGGATTCATGACGGGAGAACATGCTGGCGGCGGCAAAACGTTTGTCAGTCTTGCTGTGTGAGACCTTGCGTGATCGTATTGGTATACAATGCCACGTGGTTGTTGCTGGATAAATGGCAAAACAACTGGTCGCAAGACTTCATCCCTGTATCTTCGAGCATTCAGGTTGCCCTGAATAATCACAAGTCTCGTTTTGAGATCGCCGCAGATCGCCGCAGATCCCCCTTACAGCATCACACTACCGGCTCCAAACGGTCGGAGTTGCTGAATTCACCTACTCGTCTGTAATCACGAGCCCGACCGTCATTACTGTACTGAAAAAACATACCCTCTTCGGTGAACATTACACGTCACCAGTCACGCATAGATCTGCCAACGTCGAGCTCGCCTGGTCCATGTCAATGGTCGACGACGGTTTTGAAGAGTCAGAAAAAAACTAGAAATTGGCCAACACATGATGTTTATCAACATTGTAAACACAAAAGTAAACCAAAAGGCTATACGTGTTTTTCCTGTCTGCACTCATTGACATCGAGTACGGGTACAGCAGTGAAGTGTCATCTGCCGGCCGCTTCGGCTGTATCCTATGATAGCATCTGGAACTGCTCATTTGTAACGTCATTCTGACTTTACGTCACAATATGATTTGAATGACGTCACCACTGCGTGTGCGATATTATAAATTGTATGATTGTACCGCATTACCCGAGAAGCATACAACGTATTTATCTTACCGCCATGTTAACTATACAAAATATCATTTTATTTTATTTTAAAGATCGATAGATCTAAGCTCGCTAACGACTACATGACATGTAAAGAAAATGGCGTCTGCCTCTCGACTTGAGTTTTAAAATCAGTGAAACATATTCTGACAGGCTTAAAACTGCTTTAAAAATGCTTAATTATGTTTAAGATGAGTGTGCAAACGATTCAATGTATAAATAAAGCAGTGAAAGTCGGTAATATAAATGTGTACATAGTGAACTCAAAAACAGTTAATCGAACGGTTTTCGAACTCCGTGCACTGCATGCGTAATATTATGACGTCATGCGGTTGTTAGCGATGCAGCTTCTCGGCGGATAGTTTGGCATTTGCCGTAGTAGCGGGTAATATTATTTCCACTTGTCACCCTCCTGGGAGGGTTGACACGGAAACTCGTTAAAGCATCATTGAACAATGAAATTAAAGTGTCTTACATGAAGATAAGATAACTGTACGTATACTAGGCAGCAAAAGAAACGTCAGTTTGGAATTTTCCTTCGCAGAAACGGATAACTTTAAACTCCTTTCATGTTTTGATATATATATTTGACAACATCTCCAACTTTACCCGAGCAAAGTCATTCTTTCCCAAACTCAGAATTGAACCCAGGAAATGGTGTCAAAAACGCCACCTGATCTCGGAGATGGTACGGTGTTCTCCATGTTTTTCATGCTACTCATGCTGCACGTGCTGTTCACAAGGACCAGCCCTATAAAATGCATCCCCAAACCTGACTGCAACATTCACATTACAACGTCAGCAGGAGGAACCAGGCGCTAGGAAGACTTGAAGCTGGCCACACTGCACAAGCCGTTGCCAATCACTTCCAGGTCAACGTTCGGACCATCTACAGGCTGCAGCAACGTTTCCGGGCCACCGACACCACGAATGATCAGCCCCGTACTGGCAGACCAAGGGTGACCACAAGACGACAAGACCGCCATGTTGTGCGACAGCATGTACAGAATCCCTTCATGCAGGCATCCGAAACAGCACGCCAGACAGTGGGAACACACGGAAGACCAATCAGTACTGATACAGTACGCCGACGTCTTAACAGCGCGAACCTCCATTGCCGTAGACCTTACCGTGGACCTATCCTCACCCCTCGTCATCGGCGTGAACGTCTACAGTTTGCTCTACAACAACAAAACTGGCGATGCAAGCAATGGAG